CTGCTGACAAAGTTGGTGAGGTGCAGAGATTTAAACCCTGTGGAGAAGCAGAGCTGTGTAGCCCTGGCAAGACTCAAAATGAAGACTTTTGGAGCACCAAACCAGGCTGCTCATTCCTTGAAATGTGCCCACAGGATGAATATTTATGGCTTATCCCTGTCCTGATATCAGGGATGGCTCAGGGAAAGCCGAAGCTTTTAATTTGCATTGTGAGTTTGCTGTAGGATTCTCCATGGTGAGCAGATGCATTTCCAAACTGTTGATCTACCCATTAATTATTACAAGCTATAGTGAAGATGATGGATGCCAAGCAAAGCCTTTATAAACAGTCAGAGGAATTTGATTTCTGGGTATCAGGTGATAGGGTTTGTTTTATTAGGGGTAATTCCCTGTAGAAGAAAAATGCCTTTGCTTCCGTGTGAAGATGAAAGGCTCTCTGTTATGCTTTCTTCCTTGTATTGGGACTTTTAATTGCTCAGTGTCCACTTGTCTGTGGCTAATAATTAACCCACTGAGCATGAAAAATGCTTCTTCATACATATCACACAGGCAGCCAGCAGGGCAAACAAACCATGCCATGTGGAAAGCAAACAGTGTGGCACAACACAGACCCACAGGGGCTCCTGTGGCTGCTACTTCCCTGCTGCCCTCCCACACTCACTGCAGGGCGAGACAAGGAAGGTCTTGGGTCAGCTTTTCTCCCTTCTTGGCACAATTTGTGTTGGTCTGATTCCTTCCCAAAGCAGTTGGCTGCCAGGCAGTGAAGGGTTATGGAGGTCTGTTTAGAAATGAAGCTATAGCTGTGCCCAAAAAGATGTGCCAGAGTCTGCACACGTAAGAGCAGAAAGGCTTTGCATCTTTGAGGCCACATGGATGTGGTTGTGCCTACCTGAGGATAGCAGTTTGCATGGAGCACTGTACACATCTGTAGCTCTGCACCGCCTCTGCTCCTGCTCTTATGCTAACACCTTGCATGAATGAATGGAGGCAGATCCCACCCCATGCCCCAGATGAGGCACAGCCACATGTTACATAAAGTCTGGGCTGACCCACTGAGCAGGCTGCATGGAAACCTCCTTTGGTGCTCTGAGTGCCCAAAGATGCTACCCAGTGCGTGGATGTGCACAGCTGGGTGCTCTGCGTGAAGCAATCACAGTTTGAGATGCTGGGGGAGAATCACTCTGAGCCTGCTGATAAAACAACTCGGGTTCCTTTGTGCTTTCAGAGGTCTAGATTTGCTGTCTTCAGTCAGAGGACGGGATTAAACCTCAGATCACAGCTAAGAAAAAGTGCTGCTGAGCTGCGTGGGAATGCAAGTAAGTGGTTGTGCATGCAATCTGCACTAATACTACTCCCATGGTTGGTTCTGAGAGAGCCCTCGCATCCTTGTGAGGTCTGGCATGAAGCACGAGGCTTGTGAGCTCCCTGTAGCTTCCAGCAGAAGCCAAATTGGGTCACCTCATGCAGGAGGGGTTGCTGTGGATTTCATGGATGCCTCCATCCTTTGCATGGGGCTGTGTGACATGGCTGCTCTCATCTCTGAGCTGTTTTGCTGGGCTCAAGTGGCAGCTGGACTCTGCTTCTGCTGCACTGCTCTGTGCGTCTGTGCTGGGTTCCTGGTGTCCTTGGAGCAGGAAAGACTGAGTGTGAGACCATGGTGTCCCTACTGACTGATAGGTGCTGGGAACTGGGCTGCCACCCACGACTGCATCATGCAGGCTGATGGGAGCCTGAACATGGCTGGGTTGGTTGCTGTGCAGGAGCAGCACTCGTTGTTTGGGCTGCTGAGCCCAATGCTTTGCATGTGCTGACTTAAAAACCTGATGTGTGAAAACCCTCAGTTTGAGGTTGTATGGGAGGTGATTCTATGAGATGGCCAGGAGAAAAGGAGAGGGAGCTCAGTTATTCCCAGTGGGAAGTGACTCTGAAGCTGCTCTGCAGCACAGGGCAAAGAAGCTGCAGATGGGAAAAGCTAAGCTGGCAGTTTGGACATTTCAGGCCCAATTCTGGTGCTTACTTTAAAACATTTTGATGGCTAAAGGGAGGAAAAAGGACAAGGGATGTCCTTCCTAGTTCTTGCCCATTTGCAGCGTGGGATCAGCAGAGGAGCAGCCGCTGTTGGAAAGTTTCTCCTGTGGTCAAGAGGCTGTGCCCCCTCCTGTCACCAATCCCTGATTCTGCAGAAGAGGTTGGCTGGATCAGCACCAGCTGTGGGCTGGGTTTATTCTCATTTCTTCCTTTTTTTTTTTTTTTTTTTTTTTTTTTTTTTCAATAAGCTCAAATCTTGTTTTTCTGAAGTAGAATCAACTTTAATCTTGCAACACCAAAACTGTTGGCTCCTTCCTCTTCCCTGCCTCCACATCACGTATTTCAAAGCTGAGCGGCACAGAACTGTGCAACAGCAAGCAGCAGAGCTGCCAAGTGGGCTCTGCATGCTGCTGCATGAGCCCTCCTCCCCTAAGATGGGTCGACCTGGACTTTGGAGAGGAATGTCCTCAGATTCATGCTGATACAAAGGAGATCAGGGCTTGAAACAATTTATGCAAGCGCAAGGAGCTGCCCTGAGTAGGTATGAAAAAAGCAGAATTCAGTTCCCAAATTCTGCTGACTCAACTGCAAGTTTCTCACCTGAGAAACCACTGTACTCAGATGGTGCAGCTTGCAAGGGATCAATAGCATGTAATCTATTAGCCATTAACTATTGCTCTTAACAATGACCAGTGTCAAGGACGTGCATTGGGATCAATGGAACACAAAGAGCTGGTTCCTACAACAGTTCTGCTTTGCATAGCAGTTGCTGTTATTCCCATAATTAAGAAACAACATACAGAACGGAGTAATGTACGTATTTTTTTCTCCCTCAAATCCTTTTAAAATCAGACCCACTTATACTGGGGATGAGCTGCGTGGATGCAAGCTGCTGTGGGTGTGATGCTGAGTAGAACAGTTGGGGTTGCATTGAGGAGGAATGCAGACATGGATGCTGGGGGCGATTCTTGGTGCCTGGAAGCAAAGCACAGACACAGCTGTCCTGCTGCCCAGCACCAAAACTCTCTACATCTTCATGGGACCCATCACAATGGCTGCGTTGATGGCTGCTTTGTGAGTGTTGCTAATGGGGAAAAGCCACCCATCCCCTTGGATAGAGCATTTCATTGCACTTGGTGGAGGCGAGTGAGCAATGGACTTGTTAAAAGATCAGCCTGACCCGAACGCATACCAAAAATAAATCCTTCGTGTTCCAAACTGATGCCTGCTTTACAATATGGAGAGGTTAAACAGGGCGTGCTGATTTTGTGATACAGTGAGCAGAGGCAACTAGGCAGATCCTGCTGGAGATTATCAACAAAATCAACAGCCTTCAGGAATTCCTGCAGTACTTATTGCATCCCTAGCTAAGAATCCCTTTTGCTCCAGGTAGAACTTTGAGATGAGCACTATGTTTTGGATGACAAATGAAAAAGAATGCCCAGATGATCCCCATGGTAATGATCGAAGTTTCTCCCAAGGTGGTGCCGATGATGACCTGATTGGATGCTCCTTTAAGCTGTTAGATGTCCCCCCATACTAACTTGTTGCTTTTCAGATGGGATTTGAATGGTTCACTTATTTCTTGTCTCTGTTTCTAGTCTCTGAGGCTGGAAAGTGAAACCGAGACTACAAACTGCTCTTCTAGTTTAAAACTGAATATACCTGGAGCTTATAATCCAAAAGCACTGCAGTGGTGCTGTGCTGTGAGAGCTGGATGAGTGGAGAGCACCTGTGCGCCTGTCTGTGGCCACAGTGTGGCTGCTATTGGCAAGCATTATTTCTCTATGCAAAGGCATTAAAAGTCCAAAAGGACTTTGCATGGTAAGCATTTAAGTGTGCAGAAACCCAGCCTTTGCTGTGGCGCATTCCCAAATCCATATCCTTATGACTGCCTCCGTGCTGCCATTCAAAAGGCCGTAATGACCACAGTAGTATTTACTAACAATTATTTCCTATCAGTGCAAATGCTGTAACGATAATTAAACTTATTTTCAGAAATGGAAAATTGAAAGTCTACCATGGAGAAGGAAGATAATATTATGAGCTTGATTCTGCACTTCTGATGTTCTTTTAAAGTAAGACAGCATCTCTTCACCAGCAAGACCTGCACGCCCATGCATGGCTGTGCAAAGCTGTTAATTTGAGGAGAATGCGTGAGAAGACAACGAAGAAGCATTACTTACACGTCAGGTTACTTCTGCAGACCTTTTTGTACTTCTTGCTTTCTCTTTGCTTCACTGCTCCTGGCCTCGTGGTTGACCCCAGGACCTCCTTGTGTGAGTGTGTGTCTGTCCTGTTTCCTTCCAGGACACCAGGCTCGGGCAGTGCCAGCCAGTTTTAAATACTCATACTTCTAGCCCTGCATTTCCACCTGTTGTGCCTTAAGGGAACAGCATCCAAGCCCAAGTGAGCCCTGAGCCACGTGGGAGCAGGGCAGCCAATGTTCCTCCTGGCTCTGTTGGCACTTGGCTCTGGGTGCAGCCTCCCGATTGCACCCTGCTGTTATGCAACCAAGGGTGGGCTCTGGCTCAGGGTGCTGCCCTGGCACCTCTGCTGGCTTTGGGAAGGGATTCAGCTTGATGCCAACTCATGGGTCTGCTTTGTGTGGAACGTGCTGGGGTCCTGTCCCTGTCCCTCTTTCTTTGGCACTGCACCCAATGGAGAACTCCAGTGTGCAGGGCTCACCTGGTTTCCCAAGTTGTGACATCCTCAACCAACAGAGGAAGTGTTTGATAGGGCAAATCTGGGCAAAAACATCCTTGTCACTGGTTTTTCGTCTTTTGGAAACCAGTATCCTAAAGCAAACCCAGGCATGTTGGCTTTCCAGGTAGGACAAGTTGGCCTTGCTATGGAGGTCTGCCACATCCCCACCCTCTGTCTCTACCTCCTCCTGGGGAGAGTAAGGCTTGGCCTTGTCTGTGTAGGGCAAGAGCTCTGCACGTTCTTTAAAAGGAAATATGTGTGGGTGCTTTGCTGTTGTGTTCAGCCTTGCTGCTCTGCTCCCCTGCTGTGGAATACTGAGGATCCCAAGCAGGAGTTCATTCTGAAGAGTGGGGTTGTTGGAAATGGAACTGTTTGAAAGCCTAAAGTCAGAGACAACTGAATTGTTTGTGTGGGATGAGACATTAACTTGCTTTCCTTTATTCTAATTAAAGCAATGATTTTGTTTTATTCAGGGCCACAGGAAGACTTTCTCACCCGCTCATAGGACAAGCTGAGGAGCTGGAGCAGGACAGCGGCTCTGGGGTTTGCGCTTGGCCACGATAAACACAGGTGTGTTTGCTTTTTGCACACCTACTGCTCTCAGGAGAGCCTTTCCTTTTTGGATGCCTGCATGTTTCCTTCCCACCTCCTGTCTGGCTGCTCACGTGCACAGAGATGTGCTTGGAAGGAGCTGGAAATGGTGGCACCGCAGTAGGCAGAGGAACCTTGGATGAAGGCAGCCAGTGAGGGCCTGCAGCCATTTGGGCGCCTTGGACAAGAGGCAGCTCCTGACAGACTAACAGCTTCTTTATCCAAACGTCCGTCTTTGCCCTTGAAGTTTCTGGTAAAACTGATACTTTGTCTCTGAACAAGATGGAATTACGCAAATATATTTGCTTTAACAGACAAGGAAGCGTCGTCTTGCCAAGTCACAGGTGCCAAAGCACTTTGGCATCTCCAGAACACAAATAACCCTTGCTTTGCTTTTTTTTTTTTTCCTCCAGGCTGAAGTATGGCACACAGTCTGGGCTGAAACCTTTGGTGTTGAACTGAAGTCTGACACGGTTTGTGCTTTGCAAAACAAATCCCTAAGGATGAGGATGTCCAAGAGTCAGACCTGCAGCCCTGAGGATTCTTGCATTCCATACCCAGCTCCCCATTGGGGTGCTCTGCTCTACAGGAGACAGTCAGGGTCGCATACAGGAACAGCATGGCTAGTTGCTTCATTTCGTTCTCTACACGCCACACAACAAGGCATTTGGCTGTGGAATGGGGAGCAAGGAAGAAGTGCTGCATGCTTTGAGGTTATAGCTGCATTTTGCCTTTCAGTAAAGGAGCTTCTGAGCTTATGTACATCGTGCTCTGAGAGGAGGGGTTCTGCCTGGGTTCCCTCAAGTCTTCATCATTCATGATGGAAAGAATATTTTTCACTGAAGGATTCCTGTGAAAAAAGAAAAAAAAAAATAAGCTGTTACATGGTAGCACCTTTACAACAGTTTTAGAAGTGATTTTATCAGTTTGGTTTTATGCTCAGCTCTTTGATAGCCACACTATATTATCCCAATGCTTTTGGAGATGTCTGTAGATTTGCTTTCTGCTTCTGATCAAAGTTGGTGGATGTTTCAGTTGGGAGGAAAGGTGTAAGCATCCACCCACTGGTGTGTTCCAGAGGGCAAAAGTTGTCACAACCAATTTTCCTTTGCAACAGTCTGCCTCTGAAACATTAACAGCTGCTTATAGCATCAGGGAGCTCGGGTCCAAGTGCACTGCGACAGGAACAGGAAACGCCATCACCAATCTTCTTGAACCACTGCAACAGTGATTTGGGTATTTTTTGTGATGGGGAGGTATATTTTACCAATACAAATCTCCACAGCTTGGGTATACTTGGAAATGTCTCCATGGGTGTTTTCTACAGCAGTAGGTTACCAGTCCCCCATGACAGCCCCATCGACTTCATGTTACCCAACAACAGACACTTACATACAACCTGGTCTGCCCGAACCTTCCGAGGAGAGCACGTATCATCCTGCACATGTAGGGCAGAAAAAAAATGATATGCTTACAACACTGATCAAGGATTGCTTCTGTAGAATACTGCAAGAGGTTGCAATCAATCAGATTTTGTTGGAACGAGCAAGCAGGAAGAGCGATAACGCGTTCGTAATGCGTCAGCAAGAATTGTAATCAACAGTAACATAAATTTATAGGCCTTGTATAGGATTTAATCAAATTATTTTGAAGATTACGGCTCAATGGCTCTTGGTAAGGGATAAAGGCAGCAGTTCCGGGAATGCAAACGCAATATTTGTCTTGCAGAGATGTTTTAAATGTTAAGCAACAAGCCACCTTAAAATTAGTTTTGTGACTCTCCTACTCAGGCAGCTGGCATTTGCAGCTCTGGTTGCAAGAAAACACCCACCGATGTCTGCCTGACTCTGCCTTGCATCCATTGGTGCTGTCTGGGCTGCTGAGGTCCTCCATCCCCTGTCCTTCAGTGGGACTCAGCCCAGTCCGCACCAGCACAGCTTCTGTCTGTCCCAGGGTGCTTCCTTCTTCTGAACAAAATGCATATATGTGGGGGAGGGAAAAGTTCTTCCAACGCCTACTTACATCTATGAGCATGGCACTGGATTAGCCTCTTGTATCCCAGCCTCATTCTTGTGAACAATACATTTGGATCAAGTACTCACCACTCTTCTCACTGAGTAATGGCCTTAAACTTTTACCTAGAGGCAACACAGCATGAGATTGCCTGCTGTTGGCAAGAGTTTCTCCAGCACCTTGGTCTGTTGTGCACCCATTGAGTCAGGTTTGTCTCTGTGGAGCACAGCTGTGTCCTTGCCCTTTATGCTAAGGTTTCCAAGCACTGTGGAGCTGTAAAGCTGTTTGTTCAATGTGCTGCTCCCCAAGAATGCAAGCAAAGCCCTTCCAGAAGAAACAACTGTAACCCAAAAGGTGTTCTATGGCCAACTTACCCATCTCCTTACGAAGCTTTATTTTGGTAAGGACAAGAACAGTGGTAATGATGAAAATCAGCAAAACCAGAGCTGGTATCACAACGGAGAGCAGAGAGAATTCACCCGATGAGCTGGAAAGAGGAACCATCGAAACTAAACAGGATTTTGAGTCGATTACTGGGCAGCTGAATGCAGGCTGCGGATTTTATAGCAAATAGCCTGATTGACTCAAAGGAGAACAGTCAACAAAGTCAAGCAGGCTTGAATTCATTTGATCTGGAGTTTGGCTTATGAGGAAGTAATTTCTACAGCTACCTCTGCTCTACCATGCTGGGTTTATGCTTCACGTTGACTTATCCCCTCCAAAAAGAAAAAGAGCTATTTTCATCACGCAAACTCCCAAGCAAGGTTCAGACTCTCTCTGTGACCTCTTGTAGGCTCTCATGCTGTTGCAGGGCATCTATGTGCTGTCTCCTTGAAGAATGCCATGAGTGCTAATAGAGTTTGACACACAGACAGTGAAGAATCCAACCCTTTATACATATATATATGTGAATTGAGGTTAGCAAAGTGCTCTTTTTGACTTGAAGGAGGCTGCAGGTGGTGAGAGCGGGGTTGGAGCCATGGTGCTTTTTATGCAAGCTCTAAGGTGAGCAGGGTTGCTGCTCAAGATGTCGGGATGGATTTGTGGACTTTGTGGTTTTTCTTCAGTTACAACTGATACCTCAGTATCTGATGCTCCTGTGCCAGCTATGCAAATCACCTGGTGCTGGATGGTGCCATAGGTGAGGGGAAGGGTCCAAAAGTTCGCAGCTGTCCTGCTTAGCAGGAAGCACAGGAGCTAAAATCACCAGGTGAGCAGCAATTTTGCAGAGAAGTGCCATGGAGTAATTACTGGCCAAAATAGCTCATGGCCTTGTGTTTAACCTCGTCCAAAGATAGGTCCTTATGCAACGCACCCAAACACTGCAATGCACTACAGGCTGCCTGTAATGACTGGGATAAGGTGTACAGTGAAGTATGAGGCAGCTACTGATTCACCAGCATTATTGCTCAAGCCTGCTGTTGCTTAACGCCCTGTCTCCATTCTAACCAAAGGAAAGGAACACATCTATTGACTCTGGCATCCGATCTACACCAAAAATTCAAGACAAGTTCAAAGATCCACACCACAGATGGACATGAGATATGCTTGCCTACTGCTTTTCTAATTACTTTCTTCTATCAGAGTTCATAATCTGCAGCATGTGCACCGCCTGAGTAGAGCCCAGGGAAATTGGGCGGGTTGGAGCAAAGCACCAAGGTTGTGGCTATGGGAAAGGTGGCCATGAACTTACCTCTGGCTGTAGGTGTCACTGTGGGAGGTCACAAAGGTGCTGGGGGGAGGACTGGTGGATGGATGGGGGCTGGTGCCCTCAGTTCTGGTGCCTGTGATGTATGCCAACATTGCGGTGAGTCTCAGCCCAGTGGTGTCTGTTGGATCCATGGTGTCTGTTGGTCCTGTGGTGTCTGTTGGCCATGTGGTGCTACTCTGTGTCACTACATGGTTGGAAGATGACCTGAACGGCAAAGTGGGGTTCATAGAATTGTGCCTTGCTGGGTTTGGTGAAGTGAAGATTTCTGCAAAGAAAATGGTTTGAATGCTTAAATATTCTTTTTTTTTTTTTTTTTTTTTTTGTAGAACATTCCAGAATTTCCAAAGATTTGCACATCTCATTTTGAGTCTGCTGATGGAAAAAAAAAAAAACAAAAAAACATGCAACATCATATGACCATTTCAATTATAGAAAGCAATTTGGGAATACTAATGAAAATCCGCCCAATACTTGGCCAACATTCCTACTTCAACCTCACTATTTCTGTCTCTGATAGCTGAAGAGTGAATTGCATCTGTTTTTTTGCATGCTGAGGTTCCTAAAACTGCAAGATAACCTTCAGTTACATCTCCACGCTGCACGTGTTGCACTCAGGATGTCACGTGCTGGCGTTTTGCATCGTGAATTATCAATGATATTTTCAAACAAACCAGATTTCCGCAGAAAGCTCAAATGTTTCTATAATCCCACTACGTTTATGCACGGAACAAAGGAAAACATGTGAAGGGGGTGTCCATGAAGGGATAAGGGGAAGAGTGATTAACAAAAGGAGAAGGATTGTGTTTCCAGCCAGCCATCGCCTACCTTTCTCAATGAGCAGTTTCATGGGGGTCGTGTGCTCCCTATGCCCGCTCCTGGCCCCACACCAGTACCACCCTGCATCCTCCTCTTGCAGGCGGCTCATCATCACGGTGTAGGTCCCACTGTCCTGCATGCTGTTGCTGATCCACATGCGCCCTTTGTAGGACTCCTGCACAAACCCATCGGTGTCCACCAGCAGGGAGCAGCTGGCCTTCTGCCACCTGCACAGGTACTTGCTGGTGTAGCTGCCTGCAGGGTCGTGGTGGCACCTGAGGGACAGTGAGCCCCCCACGCTGCCATGCAGAAACTTCACCCTCCGGGGCTGGGCAGGGACTGAAGGAAGGAGAAGTTCATGATGATGTTTGATATGGTTGCAATGAGCCCATGGGACACAGCAGCCCCCGGAGTCCCCTCCTACCTGTGGTCACCTGCAGGGCTACCATCTGCCAGCTGTCCCAGTCAGCTGGGCTGCCCATCCCACACTTGTACAGCCCCACGTCTTCTGGCCTTAAATCATTTATCAGCACTTTGAATGCTCCAGAGCTCTCCTGGGGAGTAATATAGATCCGTCCCTCGTAGCTCATTCCCACGTAGCCATCGGTGTCAGCAATGAGGATGCAGCTGCTTTTCCCCACTCTGCACCAGAGCCTCCTGGTGCCACCCCGGCTGTCCCCAGGTGGGCAGGGGATGGTGACAGAGCCACGGAGCTTCCCAAGGAACAGCTCAATTGGCCTCTGCGTGCCCACATCTGCAGGGACAGATGTGCGGGTGTCACCTCCTTTTGCATGGGTACTTTAGTCACATCTGTGGGTTTTACACCCACGACTGCCTAAAGCAAAGGGTGGCAAAGGGGGCCTGACCCTCTCCCTGTCCCATCACCGTACCTGCTGACACCGTCAGGTTCAGGCTGACGTGGAGGTCGCTGTTGGTGGGGCCAATGCCACATCGGTAGGTCCCTGTGTCACTTGTCTTCAGCTGTGTCATCGTCACCATGAAGGTGCCATTCTGAGGGACATCCTCCAGGGCCACTCGGCCCACGTGGTCTTCTGAGATGAAGTTGGTGGTGGAGATGATGGTGTAGCAAATCCCATCGCTCTTCCTTTTACACCAGAACTTTCTGTCATGCTTGTTGGCAGGCGTGATGGAGTAGAAGCACTGGTGGGTGATGGACCCTCCAACTGCACCTGACAAAAACCTGGGCCCATACAAGGTGCTTGAGGCTGGCTCTTTGGGGAAGGAGGGAAGAAGTGCATTAGGTACAGACGTGAACATCCATGTGGATGGGGAGCCTTACCGTCCCAAGCAGGGTGCCAGAGGCAAAGCTCCACCAGCCCTGGCCATCCTGCTCTGTAGTGATGGCGAGCAGTAAACCTCCAGCAGGAACATTTTGTGCCTGCGGAGTTTCCTGGTGACTCACCTTGCAGCAAAGCCACAAAGAGGAGGAGAACTTCCATCTCTGCCCTTCTCGAATGTTCACTCGGCAAACTTCCAAATCTCATTTTGGGTACAGTTTTTGCTGGTGTCCCTGTGAGCAACCAGAAAGGAGATTGTGGTTTGGGTCTGCAGAGCTGAACAGCTCCAAAAAGGCATGCACAGGGAGTTTGAAGATGGCAACGATGATTGCCAAGCCCAGATGCAGCCATGACCCATGGCACCTCACTGGGTCTTGCCCAGACCTCCGCAGCCCAAACTGGGGCCATCAAACATGCTTATCTTCTTTTTTTTTCCAGTGCAAAATCCCACCAGCATGCCGTATGCTCCTCCTGGTAAGGTGCAATTATCTTTCTAACCTTTTAATTTTACTTAGCTGTAACTAAACTTCTTTCAGGAAACCTTTGGCAGGCAGACTGCTGTTATCCATTTCCATATTTAGAAGTGATGTTTGAGTGTTTAGGAGGGGAATTACTTCCTTGTGCAAGTTAAAAATTGACTTTTGATTCCCGTAATTTCATCCTATGGAGTCCCCTACTAAAATTCTTTGAGATTTACTTGACCCCCACCACGATTCAAATCTGAAGTTGGCACAAACCAATTGATTTGTTTCATCCTTGCTAACTGACTGAGCTAACCTCAAAGCATTTTGGAGACAGGAATAAGGAAATGGCCACAATGCAGTGCTGTCATGAGCCTTATTTCCAGCCGTGGTGCTGAGCCCTGGCAGCAGCACGTGGGGTGGGTGCCTGTGGATGTGGGTTTGGTCCATGCAGCATCTCACTCCCTGAGCCTTGCATGCCTTGCTCACCTTGCCTACTTTGCACACCTCACACTGGGATTATGTGCATCTCTCCTATAGCTCCCCAGCTGCACTGCCTCCAGCCATGGGGCTTACAGACCCAGCTCAGAGCCAGCTCTCTGCCCCAGTTGCCTCTTTGCTGATGGGAAGTGTGGCTGGGACAGCAGAAATGTGCTCTTCCCTTTTCAGTGCAGACAGAAGTGCCGTGGTGGTGCAGCTGGCCCTGCATCCTCTTTGGGCAGTTCCCCTTGTTTTTATTCTCCCCCAGTGTATGAGGCAGTGGGTGCAGCTCTGGCACCCAAAAATTAATGAAGAAGTCACAAATTTTGCCAAAGCTCCATCATTTAGCTGGCCCTGCTGCTGACGACTCAGATTAGCATTCTAACAAGGCTTTCTTCCTATATGGTACATTCTGTGCTGGCATTAACTTGCTAAGTTCTTCCTGGCATTAGGCCATTAGCCTGGATGCAAAGTGCCTGCAGGCTGGTGCTGCTCTGTGCCTCCTTAGGGGTGGATGCCACGCTTGCACAACCACCCAGCTGCGATATTTTGGGATCCCATACAACAGCTTCACAGCCCCACTCGTTCACAGCTCCATTTCCTACCCTGAAGCAACAAGCAGAGTGTCAGCACTGGGCTGGGAAATGCCTGGGCTGTGCCTTCCAGGACCTCCACGAAGATGCTAATTAATAAGGAGATCTCACTTCTTCCAGGTCCAATTACCTTGAGCAATTCCAGCTCAGCGCCAGCCACATGCATTTTACTTGCAGCACCAAACATGCATTTTCTGGGTTATTTATGGCACGCTGAGCTGCACATGATTGGCAGCCATGAGGACTGGAGCTCTGGGTGCATCCATGCTGCAAACGACTGATGGATCAGATGGAATCTAAAGCAAAGCACGTCCAGCAGGTCTGTCCTATCTGTGCAACTGTTCTGCAGCGTTGCTGGGTTGCTGGGCTGCGTTCATTTACTAGGCACTGCCCACCACCAAATAACACAAATAGCAGCAAGCGACAAGAGAGCCAATATTACAAATCCCATTTCTTTTTGTTTTCTTCCTGTCTTCAGTTCAGTTTTCTGCAGTGAAAATGCCTGCGTGCCCAATTTTATTGCATCCGTCTGGTTAAACAGCCCTTCCTCCACCGCCAAGAATACTGCTGCTTAGCTGCTGCTCCACAACAACTGCTTAGCATCTCTCCATGTAATGAGAACTTGCCTCATCTACCTCATTTTTCTGTGTGCTCTTTGCAAAAATGCAACAATCCATTTGATAGCTTTAAGGAGAGGAAAGAAAGAATTATGCTAGCTCTAGAAGCAAAGGCAGATTCAAGCAGGAATGGGTTGTACCACTCTTCCTGCACTAGAGATGACAACTTGACGTTGCAGACCTATTGCATATTGACATCCATCCTTTGCAAAAGTGAAATCCATCAGAGCAGTGCAGGCTGCTGCTGTGTGATAGCACTGCACCCTCTTCAATAATAACTTCAGGGCAAAGTGAGGATCACCCACCTTAGGTTAGGATGCTTCTGCTTCTGGTCTGCGGCTCTGCTGGTCTCTGCTCAGCTCTTGATGTTTAATTCTTTGTTTTTTAATGTAACGATGTTTAGAGTTAATAATGATTTTGCTCTATTGAGGTTCAGCAGTGCATTGCTGAGCAAGTTGGAGACAGCCAGAATGACAGAAATAGGAGAAATGACAGTGATGTACTGAATATGGAACCTGCAGAGTGCTCCTTTTTAGCCACTTCATGATGGAAAGGAAACCAATGAAGAAGCCAGGAGCAGAAACTGCACAGTTCTGAGGAATTCCCCAGTGCTTCAGACAACATGCAAAGTTGTAACACAAAGGAATGGTTTTTAATTACTAGCACTGAAATGCTCTTTGCTGGGAAGGGCCTTTAGGCAGAACTTCACATCAAGAATGAACGTTGTGTGTGTTTCTCCCCACTTCTGCAGTCTGAACCACCCTGATGCTCATCCTCTGGCACCACATTCTAGAGGATTCCAGAACGAAAGTCTGTTTTCTGCCTCAACAGTTGTTAAAGTTTCTCACTGCAGCAAGCCAGTGAGAAAACTGGCTTTCCAGATAGTTATAATCATGTTAATGGAGGGAAATTATATTGGATCATTGCACCATAGCCTGATTAAACCAAATTGCCAATCAGCTAAAGAGATCAAAGTTGAGAAATCAAATCAAAGCAGCATGTCACTAAGGCACGTGGATTTTACTTGGGAATATCATTATGATCTCTCAGTAACTTGTCATTTTGTAGTGATTAGTTTCTTTCTTACTTTAATTGTGCTGCATTTTAACTGCTGTGCATTTAAAGTTTGTTGGTTAGTGGATTGCACTGCTTCCAGAAAGGCAGAAGTGCGCGTAGCAACAGTTGTGATGTTGTGGCAGACTTTGCTCTGTTTTTCCTACAAATAAAGATGATGGATTGAAGCACAGTCAATGCACAGCAGTGCTGGAAACGCCCCAGGTTGGTTCTGCCCTCTCCATACCCACAGGTTTTGCAGGACATCACACTCCATGTGAGAGCAGCAGGTGGTTTGGTGCTCATGGCAAAGCCAATAGATGTGACTTGCTGCAAAGCTTTGCTCTGCCCTGCCCAACGTGCCAGGGTACAAAGGTTGGACTCCCAAGCTTCTGGGGCACAGGTATGCTTTGAAGCCTTGGATCATGCTTTCTGAAGCACTTGGATTTTCCCTGGACAAAGGTGTATCTCCATCCAGCGGTTTTGCTTTCTTTATCATCGTTTGATGACTTAAACTGCAGTCGTTTTGTTGCTTTGTACCAAACCTGTGCAATAACCAGCTCCCAACACCCATTCAGCTTCAGTGATATCAGTCTCCCTAAGGGCATTTATTTGTTTTTTACCATGTTGATGGCAAAACCACTGGATTGCAATAAAATGTGGCACATAAAACCGAGGGTGAGAAACACCTCCATGCTGCAGGTAAGAACCAGAACTCCTTGTCCTTGTCCTTGCCCTGCTGGAAGCCATAACTGGGGCTCAGATGGGTCTGGATGACACCTGGATGGCAGCTGGGATCTCTCCATGCCCCACACAAATGATGGAGCAGCAGTGACCCTGCAAGACCCCATGGCTTGTCACTGGGGTAAGAGTCAATGCCCATGGGGAGCAGAGATCTCAGCTCAGGAGGTGCAGTGAAGGGTCTGAGTTCCATTGGTGCCTCAGTCCGGGAAGCATTCTGTGTGCTCAAAGGTTTCTGTCCTAATTGCTTTATTGCTGCTGATAAGACACAGCCTCTCTACTTCCACGCCGATGTTAATAATTCATTTTAACTGTGGCACTGGGTTAAGTCCCCCACATCTTCCTTTCTCTTGCCTTTCCCTGGCTGTTTCCCAACCGTTCCCTCGCTATCTGCGTGACCTCAGTGCAGGAACAGCTGACGTCCCTTGCATTGCTATGGGAGCCGTGCTCCTGCCCTTCGGTGCGGCTCTGGGATGGATGCGGGCGGAGGGGATCGGGTTTGAGCATCGTCACCTCGTGTCGCGCACCGCCACCGCGTGTCGCTGCCGCGGATCTGTCACGGCAGCAGAACGCTGCTGCTGAGCCCTGGTGGGGAGACGTGCAGTTTGCAGGTCACAGCTGGGAAAAGAACACTTCTGGAGAGTAGTTTTCTATCTTTTTTTCTTTCTTTCTTTTCTGGTTATTGGGATGCAGATTCCTTATTTTTCCAGGTACAGAGTGGGGCACGGCGCTGCTTCTGCATTTGCTTCCCTGAAGGAAGGGGCTGCGCTCACTGCTCAGCATCCAGCTGGTGGGAAAGGGGAGGGCACCGCGAGGGAAGGAAGCGAGTGAGGGGAGCCCAGCCGCACGGGGGGGAGGTTAAGGCTGCTCTGTTTGCTCACTGCCTTGTTCAGCATAGGAGTGGTTCAGCACAGGCACCAGAAGAACGAACACTCATGGCTTGTGTGTGCCGGACTCTCCCTTCCCCATCACCAGGATACTCATGCTGATGCATTGTATGCTGTCATTCACCTTGCTGGTGGGACATTGCACGGGTGACAAAACCTGGTGACCTGCCATCAGGTGAGCTTGGCATCCCATGGACTCCTTACAAAAGGTGAGGAGAAGGACTTCTGGTATGCAAAGCTGCAGCAGAACGACAGCCCCATAGCAGGGACATGTCCCCACTGTCCCCACATTGCATTCCAAGTGCTGCAGCTGTTCCTGCATTAGGAGTGAGCTCTGGCTGCAGCAGGGTGAGAGCAAAGGCAGCGGCGTTGCTGTTGGATGAGCTCTCCTGAGAGCAGCCGGTCGAGCCAGGTAACACATCCTGAGTCACTCTGATGAGCAGTGGGGTGGCAAGATGCTTTGGGTGGAGGCTGATTGCTTTTGACCCAGGTGATTTGAAGGGTTAGTAACAGAGATAGCAACCAGCTGCTCCCTTTCCTCACCTGGGTATGAGGCCCCCAGGTGTCCCAGGCTGACCCCAGCTTGTCAAGCAGGGACACCTGAACTCCCCACCTCCTTGAGATGAGAAAGGAGAGAAACAGAGCAGCGCTGGAAGAAAGAAGGGATATTTTCTCAGCATTATTCACAAAGCAAGGGGCATGGCTATGGCAGAGCGCTGGTGCCAGCAGGCAGAGGCAGGGACTGCATGGAGGCAGTGAAGGCTTCTTCTGTTACTAAACAAGAGCTGGCTCTCAGATAATTTACAGAATTTGCTCCTTTGAGCCATGCTTCCTTTAATGCACCGTGGATGGGCACCATATTGGGCCCCCAGTTTGTTTTCCCAGTGTACAGTTGTGAAGGTGCTGTTTGCTAATAAATGAGAACAACAGCCTGTGCTTGTTTTGCAGTGCCCATCAGAGTTAATGATTAAAGAGTAGCTAGGGCAGTGTTGTTGAAACAGTGTTGTTGAAAAGTCAGGTGTTATCACTGTGCAGGAACCCCTGTGTAAGGAGCAATAACAACCCATTCTGTCTCTTACTGAACTTCAAAGCTAAAGAGCATTGGAAACCAAAGAACAGCTGAGGTGTCTCTGAAACAGGAGTGTGTTCACCCTGCCTGTGCTGCCAAGGGGGACGCAGTGGCTCACTGGGACTGAACTGGTGGTTGCTGAGCACAGATTTTAAGAGCAGGAATGAAGGACGTTGTTTGAGTTTGGTTTTGAGATATCAGGTAAGTTTGCATCGCTGGGAAGTAAAGCAAAACAAACCACGACCAGAGAAAAATGCATGCACTCGAATGGGATCAGCTTGTCTTTCTGTCTGCTGTGTATCAGCAGGCTGTGAGCTCCCCACACTGAGCACTGTGCACATGGGGAACACAGTCAGGAGGGTTTGGGACCAGAACTTACCAAAACACTTCTCCTGAATTTGATCTTTGTAATGGAAGATGGATGTAAGAGTGCCTTTAATTGGGCCGGCAGCGACAGGCTCACACAGACATGGAAATGACATGTCTGAGTGTTGTGGGGTGGATAGTTAAAAAGTGGATACGCAGCCTATGCAAAATGCAATGCTGAGTGTTTGGGTCTTTACAAACACTGCTGTGATGTGTAAGCACACTGTATAGCCTGCATGAAGGCACTGAGGGCAAGTTTACCAACTCTTCACGCTGTATTGTAAATATTATGCTCACTTTTCACCGCTATTTTATTATTATTATCATTTGTAATTTTGCTTCAGACACAAATCAACCAAATTATGCCCAGAGTTAAAAGTACCGGATCTGCTTTGAGAGGTACCCAATCCAGAACCCAGGAGAAAAGTTGGAGTCTGGCTGAACCTGGGCTTTGTTTCTGTTCTTAGAATCACAGAATCAGAGGTTGGAAAAGACCACCGAGATCATCCAGCCCAATGATCACCCCTGCAGCACCGCTCTTGCTCTTCTCCTGCACACCCCGAGAAAGCCAAGCACCCACCACAGCTCTACCAAGTATCTCTTTGTTCTATTCCTGGGTCTCTGCACACAATATGTGAGTATTTTTAGGACAGAAGCAAGCACGTCTCTGCAAGAACAGCAGCAATCCCTGCAGCTCCCTGCACCAGCTGTGCTTGGGCCACAGGCTTTGGGCTCAGCGATAGGAGGCAGCAGCTGCAGCAGCACCTGATCCCACTGCCCTCATTAAAGAGGCTCTCTGCCCTGCTGAAGTTCCTTCTAGTCTGCAGAAAGGGGCAGTGTGGACTCCATGGGGACGTGGGCTAGCTGGGGCTGCTCCTGGTGTGCAGATGGGCAGCATCCAGCCCCCACCCAGCGCTGAGCTACCCAGGCCCTCGACTTATGAGTGCAAATGATTGCCAGGGAGAGGGAGTGCAGCCTAAACGTCACAGGAGAGATTGAGCTCTGAGTGAAGGGGTCAGAGCTCTGAAGGCAAGATATCTGGTAAGTCCATTTTTCACAGCCCATTGCCTTTCCAGAACAAATTCCCTGCTTGGACGTAGCAGCTGTTTCCTCCTGTGAGCAGAACCCTGCCATCCCCCTCGGGCACCAGCATCACAAATATCACAGAGACCCAAACCTTGTCTCTTTCTTCATCCATAGGCAGCCCCTTTTAAAGCAAGCCAAACCTGCAGCTTCCCCTTTGTGACAGCCCCTAAATGCATTAATGATTCTGCAGATCATACCCCAGCCACACGCTGGCTGTGTACAAAACATCCTATACAAGTGGCACTACTTTATTAGGCACGATGTCCTGAGCGACTCCACGAGCAGCAGGCCCCATGTTTCCCCCCCGAGCTGTCCCAGCAGCAGGTGCTCATCCAGCAGAACCACGCAGGCTTGCAGGCTGTGCTCCTCGCTCTCGCTCAACGCTACTCCTTCAGCAGGCCAAGCTTCCTCAGTGCCTCCCGCCGGTGCTCCTCTGTTGAACCCTTGGGGGAAATCTTCACGCTGACGCAGGAGCGGGTCGGCCGGGGGAAGCTGGGCAGCGGGCTCGATCTTCTCTTGCTGCTCTTCTCCACCTCGGTGGGCTCCTTCAGTGCAGTAAAGTCCTTCCCTGCCCCGAGGGACGCGGGCCGCGGTCTGCTGCTGCGCAGGAAGCTGGGTGCCAGCCGCTCGATGAAGGACATCTTGCCCAGGGAGCCGCTGCCCTTGACGCCCGGCTCCTTGGCCATGCAGCTGCCCAGCCCTACGCCGGAGCGCTCCAGGGTGTTGGATTTGAAGTTCATGGCCCGACCCGCCGGGGCTGTGCTCGGTGCTGCCTGGCCCTGGTTGCAGGGAGGTGGCACAGGGCTGGGCTGGGCGCAGGGCTCCTGCAGGTCCTGTGGCAGCCCCAGCTTCTCCAGGGCTTCCCGCCGGGCCTTTTCTCTCTCCTTGGGGTCGTGCTGCCCTGAATTCTGCTTTTCTGCAGCAGTGTCTCCAGCAGAGCCGACGGGTGATGGCGGTGGTACCTTCACCTTCTGCCCGTGCTCCGCACCGAGCGGCACTGGGCTGGCTTTGCTGGTTCTCAGGATAATGTTTGGTGGCAGTTTTCGTGGTTTGGGGGCTGTGGGAGGCCCACGCTTGGTTTCGGGGTCCTGCGGGACCTCCTGTGCTGCTGGGTGCTCCGCTTGGCTCTGAGGAAGCGCTGCGCTCTCCTGGCCCATCTCTTGGTGTGGCAGTGATGTGGGATCGGGGTCAGCAGCCATTCCCAGGGCTGGACGGGGCCGTGTCCAACTCTCCTCTATGTTGTCTTTTCCGGCATCTGAGCCATTGCTTCGTGACTGCTCTGTATGGCTCTCCTGGTTGTCCTGGAAGGGAGCTGGAGGTGGGATGATCAGGGATCTCACCTCTCTTCTCACGTTACCTTGGCCAAGCCTGCCCTCCTTGCCCATCTCCTGTGGAGATTTACCCATTGGCACCAGGTCCTGCATGGTGTGCACATCTGTTTTGCCATCAGCTCTGTTTGCTCTTTGTGCATTTGCTGCAGTGATGTTCCTAGGAAGGCTGTGGTAGCCTGGGCTTGGTGCCATTGCTGGAGCTGAGCTTGGGAAGCTAGAGGAGCCCTCGGTGCCCTTCTGGTCGGCTGCATGCTGCTGAGCTGACCTTTCAGGAGGATCCCTCTTCTCCAAATCTAGGCAGAGAGAGATGAGAAATCATGCACTGCGCTGCACATGCACACAGGATATCTTACCATTTACACAACGCTTCTTCATGTCTGGTGATGACAAGCAGAGAAGCTCTGCCTAGCAGTTCTGTTTGCCACATATCCAGCACTTGGGAGAACGCAGCTGGTGCCCTACATATCCCACCACACACAGCCTCCTCTCACCCATGGAGTGATAAAAACCATCTGGCTTTTGCTTACCAAATTAATAAAACTGGGGCAACGCTCCCTCCCTGCCTGCCAAGGAAACTCACCCCAGTGTGGAAATCCTTTGCAAATAGGGCTGGAGTCCAATTCCCAGCTTACCCTGGGGAGCAGAGTCTCTCTTCAGCCATGCCCTGGGCAGCTGGGAGGCCTCTGCATAGTCAGTCTCATCAGTTGAAACCCCACTATCTGCTTCTGCATCCAATGAGCCAATGGTTTCTTCTAAGAACATCAAGCACTCCTTCTCTTCCACAGATAAATAGTCATAGCTGTTATCACTCTGAGAAAAGAAGGGAAAAAAAAGTACTGATAGGAACTGCAGTGCGCTTTTATTTATCTGGGGGTGGCAGTGTCTCTCCTTGTTCTCCCACTGACACCGCAGCTTTGAAAGGGACACAGCGAGATCCTGTTTAATTTTTGTTGCATTTCAAGCATCGTGAGATACAATCACTGTGGAAGTGCCAAGTCAAAGTGCAACATGTAGTACACATCATTAAAAAGCTGAAGTGCAGGAAAGGATGGAGCATGTGTCAGATCAACAACCACGGGGGAGAAATTGTTCCAGGTGGAGTTGTTTTGCAAAGAGGCGCCTTCCCAAGCCTTGCACCATGCAATACTGCAACCAGTTTGTCCATCCCTAATAAATTTTAGAGGGTTTGGTTCTGGTTTGCAGTACATCAAATGGAAAACCTGCCCAGGACTGAGCTCTGTCCTAGCACATATCAATTATGCTCCAAGTCAGACAGGATGTAATTAAGCCATCAATCTTGGAATCAGTGTTTGGAGACAAACAAGTTTTAAGGAACAGATAATGAAAAATTGCACATCTACACCCATTGTCCCAGCTCATCTCCACCTTAACTCCTAAACCCATCTCTTGTCAGCCAGGGAGGAGTACAGCTCAATGCCTTCTCCAGGTGCAGTCACCCTCATTGGAGCCACTGTGACCCAGTTAACCTGCTGGTGCTGGGACAACCTGCCCTGCCCCTGGGCTGTGCCAAGGGCTCCCGCAGTTTGGTGTTATTCCCTGAAGAAACCAAGCAGTGAGCTTGATCGCTGCCGAGTAGGTGTGAGAGATCGTGAGCGTTTTGGGGTCAGGATCCGTGAGGTCCTTGTGCTGCCACAGCAGTTTTGAGCAGAAATCCAACCGAAATCTCATGCTGAAGGGAGTGAGCCATGTCTGGGCTGAGCGCAATGGGACGACTTACCCGCTGCGAGTGGTTGGAGGCTGTGCTGACCATGCTGTCACAGCTGTCTGAGTTGCAGGCAGCCATGCCCAGCCCCAGGTCCTTTCCAGGCATGTCACGGGCTGTGGTGCGGGCTGGGACAGCACGGCTGGAGCAGGAGAGAGGAGATGTGTTAGGCTGCAGGGCTGCTGCGTGCAAATGTGCGCTCTCTTAGGCTGCTCCTAGCAAGGAAAAGGCATTTTTGAAAGCACCTTTGGAAACGATTTGGTTTTTTTTCCAAATGTATTAGAAATGGAGTAAGGCCTGGAGAACCTATCCCATAAGGAGGGTGACGATTTAATCACCCTGGAGATGTGGTTCCTGAGCAAAGGAAGGAGCTGCAAGCCTGCAGCAGCCATGCACACTGACAGGCTGCAATTGAGGAGAGCTGGCAGGGCTGTTCCACCCTAAGCTGAGAGCCCTGCCTATGGCTGGTAGCACCTCCACACCCACCCAGTGCCCACTGAACAACAAGTAGCCCTTGGGTTTTCTGCGTGCAAGACCATTCTGGGGCAGGGACCCCAGGATCCCATGCAGGTCAGTTACACTCACAGCATGCACAGCAAACAGTGCTTCACCCCCGGGGGAAAAGACAAAGCAGCCTACAGAAGCCATAATTATTTGTATCTATAAAGCATTAATTAAAAAGGTACTGACACCACCAATTACGTGCTTTCTTTGCTTGCACCGCCCATTCTTTGGGAGATGAGAGCAGGGCTGCAGAGCACAGCAAACAAACGCCCTCCCCAACACACACAGGCCCACGCAGGAGCAGTTGTTTGCGGGCAGACAGAGGAGCTCTTTGTGCTGCAACCTGGCCACAGGAGCACACTGCTGCTTTTCTTGGTAGAAGGATCAGGGAATTAGATCTGGTGATAAGCGAGCAGATCTGGCTGCTCGTTAAGACAGTCAGACCCTGAAAGAATTCTTTTGTAATTGCAATATGCCACAGAAATCAGATTTCACCGCCCACAACCTGGAAGATCCAATGCTTCCACTCAGGAGGAACCTAATGCTTCAGGTTGGGTTTTGCAGTATTTACTGCCCAAATTACAGCTGAGGAAGCAGAGTTTTTGAAGCAGAACTACCCCCAGTTCTTCGAGTTTGGAGAAGCTTATAGCCAGAGCTGTTAGCTCTTGGGAAGCACAGGCTGGGGCTGGGGATTTTCAGCCTTCCCAAGCTGTGTAACTTTGCTGCAAACACCATTTGCAACGTGAAACATAAATCTGCTTCCAGGCAGCAAGAACCTATTGCCTGCTGGATGGGGACCCACAGGATTGCTGTAATGTTCTGCACTGCTTCCTACCCGCTGCACAGACCCGAGGGCGCAAAACAGGGAAGCGAAAGTCTTGCTTGAACTTGATGCTGGAGCAGCATCCTCTGTGCAATGCCACAGCTGCAAAGCAGGCAGACCCGAGCAGGGGCAGCCACATGGGGGTCTCCGAGCTGATTACTGGTGGTCAGCACGTTGGGAGAAACGATCTGAGCAGCCCTCTCCTTCAAACAGTGTGAGCGGGAGGAGGCAAAGTTCAGCAGGGAGCGTCAGGAGCTGCGCAGGAACAAGGGGCTCATTCTGCTGTGTGCTGTTCTCAGAGGAGATTACTGTTCTGACACATTCATCCGATTCAGGAGAAGGAAAGAGGAAACCAGCCTTGAAAAATCTCAGTTTTAAGGTTCAGAAGGATTTTGCAGTTCGCTCCTTACAAAAAAAACAACAGGTCGGCCACAAACTAAACATTCTACCAAGTGTTTAAAGTAAATTAAAAGGATACTTGAAAAGCTGTTTCTCGATCATGTGTTCTCCCACTAAAAGGGTTTTCCAAGAGGCCACTTTTTATTTGAAACACAAAACTCGCTGGGGCAGCTTTTGCAACATCTGCTGTAACTGTCCTCTGCAAAGCTTGCCGAGCCCTCAGACATCAAAGAACTGCTGGGTAGCAATTAATGCTAATTGCTTTATTTGAAGAGGCTACTTTCTTCTAATCCCAGCGCGACTACCAGAGCTCTATCGCAGCTCTCCAGCAGCGTTCACCAATGTCAGTGCTTTTTGCAGCTGTACTCTGATGCCCTACACCCACTCACAAAGGGCCCCATCCTAAACACAGAGAGCACGAGGAAACGGAGCACAGGCAGCTCCTGGCCTCTCCGTGCAGTGGGACAGATCCCAGCCCAGGGTGACCGAAGGCGATGGCGCAGTTCTCCAGTTCCTCCTCTTTAAACAAATAGGGCGCACATTTCAGTTTCAAGAGCTGAGTTTGCTGTTCCAATAACGAGTTTTACGGGTGTCCCGCAGCTCTCCAGCACCACTTTCCAGCCCCCCCCAGTCCCCATCCTGGTGCCACTTGGTGCATCAGCTCTGCCATTCTTTCTCCTTCCAAAGCAAAGTCCCCAACATGAAGGCACCGCAGCCCCGTGCCCCAGGCAGAGACACTCAGCTCTTCACCACAACCACATTCAGCAGGAAAAGCAGAGAGAGCAGAGAGCAGGAAAGAATAAAGATTTTTGCTCTTTTTTTACCAGGATGTCCGACGTCCCCCGCTGCCCAAATCCTCGTCCTGGTCACGTCTATCCCAGCACGTCTTTGCTTTTCTGTGCTAACCAAACACGGGCAGGTTACACATTAACTCCCAGCACTGATAAGGCTATGCAGGGCACAGGCAGCAGCCCGCCCGTCACCTGCAGCACAGCCAAACCACGCTCATCCCAACCCGAGCACAGGGAGCTCCTTCCTGCAGCTGGGCTGGGGTCAGGGTGCAGCACAGCCCCTGCTCTGCCGGGTGTGCAGCTCTGCACAGGGTGCCCGGGGGGGGGGCAGAGCCCAGCGAGCGGCTGCGGGCTCCCGGCACCACCCAGCACCCTCCCTTCCTGGCCTCAGCACGGGTTTCACTGGAGACTCCTTAATCCGACATCCTGTTCTGCAGCATAGTTGCTCGCTGACATCTGGAGGCCCTGACCAAAACGCCCTTTTGGCAGTGATTAAGCCCTCCGCCGGGTGTTGGCGCTGGGTGCTGCGTTGCCGCACAGCAGGTTTCTTCTCTTCTGTGGTTTGGGGCATTGGGTGCCTCAGCTTGGGGCAAGAGCTGGTTCCTTCACAGCTCTGAGCATACAGATCGTTGCCGGAACAGAATGAGGCTCATGTACCACCAAAGCTTTCCATGATATCGTGTTTTCCCACTGTACACTTTACGGGGATTCTTTCGTAGAAGGAAAGGAGAGAGCCAGGAAAACGGCAGATATCTCAGCAGAAACCCTGCAGGGAGATTCCAGCCATCATTCAGGTTCTCATGCTTTAATGATTTTTTTTTTTTTAAATAATATGTTGCAATATGTGCCCTGCTACACAGAACAGGGAAGTGGAAACATGGGTTATTTCAAGCTGCAGAAGGATGAAGGGAAAGCGGATGAGTGGGGAGCACAGAGCTTCCCAGCAGCGCTAGCAAGCCACAGCTGTGCCCTGTTACAAAAGGGCCATGTGGGCTGAGGAGCAAATCACAGCAGATTGGGAAACTGGAAAGTGTGGGGAGTCCTGTGCCAGCGCTGTCCTCCTGTAGTCACACAGCAAAGGTAAGAGATGCGAACGTGGTGCTTTCAGTGCAGCTGTTGCATTGCTGGAGCAGTGCAGCAGCCTGGGACTGTAGAGCTTAGTGCTTCTGGATGCACTCACTGGCACAGCGCTGGGTGGTGCAGTGGTTTGAGCAGCCTGGTTTGTGATGCTTTTTGTTTAGTTGCCTTTGGTTCTGAGTCTGCTTAGAACATGGAAGCATGGCAAAACCAGATATGTTTTGTTACATACATGGAAACACAGAGAAAACTGAACAAACACTCCTGATGGAGAGGCCGTGTGCTGAGAGCACCGTGCTGACAGCACTGGGACCCAAACCCACGCCATACAATCTATAGAGCTTGCTGCCTGAAAGGCTCTCTGTAGATCAGAGAAAACATCCTGTTCCATTAAGAGAAGTCTTGAGCTGCTGAGAGCTGACTTCTGTACAGCATGGATGCCTGGAATGAACCTGTTCCTTTTCTACACTCTTCCTCTGACAAACAAAACCAGCTGCTACTCAAAATAAAGCGTGATTTCACGTACGTGGTATGAAGTCTATGCAAATAGTCAAGTGATGCAAAGAAAACTCTCCAGAATGCTGTGAAAGGTCTTTGGCATGCTAACAGGCACCTCGTGCCTCGCCCTCTGCACAAACAGCAGAGTGTGGGTGATTCAGGTCTGGCATGGAGGAACTGCATCCACACAGATAAGGCACTGCTGACATAATGACCTGGGTTTGGCTGCAGGGCTGCTGGACCCTCCCCTCACACTGAGCTGTATGTATGCGAGCTGACAAACTAATTATGGAAGAGATTGGGTAATCCTCTGGCTTGGAGAAATAAGGAGGTCTTAGTATGGCTGTGAACTGAGAAGGAACCCAATTTATTATCTCGATTTTAGAGAAAAGAGGTAGAGATCTCCATGGCTTGCTTAGCATTAACCCTACAAACGAGGAGGCAGCTCTGGCTCTGCAGTGCAGTTCCCAGCACTTTCCCCAAGGCACTGATTAAAAATAATCCACAAGAGCACTGCAATCCTGGCCAACCTGATTTTGCTAACCCTCCTATTGCATTGCTCTGTTACAAAAACCCATCTGCTGCTCACACTCAGAGGAGTGAAATCTCGATTTGAGCAAACTGAAAGGAACTTCATTCTGTTCCATCCGGCGCAGAGTGAAACCTGATGGTGGTTGTAAGACTGAAGGCGCAGCTTCATTTACAACCCAGGCAGACGTTTAATTTGTATGATGAAGAGCTGCAATTTTCCTTAAAGCAAGCTCAGAATGCAGTGTTCCTCTTATGAAAGTTTTCCCCTGCTGGGACAGGGCTGAGCTGAGCTTGGTGCAGGGCTGGCTGGCCCATGGGCACGTGGCATCGCGTGCAAGGCAGTCAGCAGAGTTCTGCTGAGATCAGATGCTGCCCTTATTGCTGCCTGTCCCCTCACTCCTGCTTCCTCTGTGACAGAGCAAACAATGCTGGGAGGTCAGACGTGGTTGGAGCGATGGCTGCTGTGTTCCTTTGCTGTAAGTGCAGCTTCTGGAGGGCTCTGTTGGCTGTGTCGGAGCACAACTGTTGCACTGTTGTGTATTTGAACAGGTTGCTGTTGAAAAACTAGGGTGGGAATGGGACATTCCTCTGCAGGTGCCACAAGGGAACAGGAGGTGCAGTGAGTTCTGACCCTGCACCACACAGGGAGGTGCTCCTTCCTTCTGCCTTCTCCCCACTATTTCTTCTTCTTGTCCAGAACCAAGGAATCACACACAAACTCATGCTCTATCAGCTCTATCAGGAGAATTTTGCTTTTCCCCTTTCTCTCAAAGTCATATGAGGAATTAAGCACTTATTAAAGGCATGGAAAAGTAACTGCTTCGCAAACTGAAGTTGCCGTGCCATTATCCCAGCAAGCCACAGCTATAGCTGGGGAAATACAGACTTGGGCTGATTTCCTCCTAATATTGCCCATGTAGGCAATTGCTTCCATGAAATGGACAGGATGTTACTTAAACAGAGAAGTCCTAATGTCTGTTTAATGACATGTACATCTAAATGGAAGAGTATAAACCTCTTTGGTCACTCCTCTTGATGCCCGAGTACATCAGGGAGGTATTTTACTATTTTAAAAGCATAAAATTCTATTGCTGAAGATGTGATTTTGTATTTTTATATATTATGTGGCTGGAAAAGTTGAAAGTGAAGATTTGTCCTCAAAGGGCTGTGGGACAGAGCCCTTCTTGATATGGTCATCCCTTAGTACCAAAGGGAAAAGTGAATGAGACAGAGAGGAAAGCAGATGTAAATTACTTAAAGATCGTGCTACAGATGTGAAGGCTGTAAAAAATGCACTGGTGGAACAACAGTGAATAGAGCAAAAACCTGGCATTCAAGAGCTGAGGCAGAGACTACACTAAACAAGGGTGCATGCATCAGTCATGTTTATTGGTGCATCGACAATTTTTGCAGTTCAAGTGACGTGTTTAAGGAAATATATCATTCCAAATGGTCTGCACTGATGGTACATGAAGTGGAACGCTGTATTACAGTGGTAATTAAGACTTGAGAATCACTTGCTAACACCATTTGCTCTGCTGCTGACATAGCGAAGTCCGCGCTCGGTATCTGCTGAGCACGTAAATTCAGACCAACTTTTAAAGTGCTGTTAAATCCATGAGATGTGCATCTCTTCCTACAGTGCAGTGCTTGTAAAAGGCGACATGATGCAGGTGTCAGGCTCTTCTTATTTAAGGAAGGATTTTAGTGCTGGTGAAGTGGCCAGCAGGCACTGGAAAACTGAAGTTCTTCACTTAACTGACATCTAATACAGGCAAGGAAGCCAAGATGAACAATGCAGCTTCTACCAAGCCCACCTCTGAAGTAAGAATTTCATTTTCCAGGGCCTGAGTAACTGCTGACCTCTGTGCTGAAGCGTTCAGTGAGGAAATTGGTGTTTAATTTCAACCTGGATGGGAGTAAGTGGCATTGGTAAGGACACACACCCATAGCTTACAGGCTGCCTGCCTCCACCTGAGCCCACAGCACGTCTATTCTAAAATATCTGTAACAACAGCTCAGTGCAAACGTATCAGCGACGCTCAGAAATTCACCCCACTGCTGCCAGGATCCCATTTTTGTGGTACTGCCACAGCTGCATCATTAAGGGCAGATAAACACTGCTAAAAAGATGTTAAAAAAACATCCTGATGTTCCATTCTTTTACAACTCCCCATTCTAACGCAGCTCAGGAGCTCCTCCAGCTCTGTCCACATCCCCACTTATTTGCTCTTTGAAACAGTTTGTCAGCACAGGATAACATCAACGTTTACAAACACAAATTACAGCTGTCCCGTTGATATTTTGTAAACCAAAGGGATTTTATTTTCTAGGCAACTCCATAAAACACCCAAGTGGTGACTCTGAGGCATCTCCCTCACACGGAACTCCTGCTCTGTTAGTGGATTTGCTATGCAGACACGATAAAGCAAAGCTAAACACTCCAGGTTCAATACAACTAATTTTAAATTTAAAAATACTGCAACTGAGAAGTAATTCCCCAAAAGTATTTGGACAGGCTTTCAGAAATCCACCCAAGATACAAAGCTAAAAAAATTCCAAGTGTTGCTCCCAAAAGTCCACGCCGTTGCAAACGTGGCAGACAATAAATACGTATCTTCCTCTTCGACAGCACTTTTGTTTCAAAGACACCCAAAGTACACCTCTCTGAGGTAGGTATTGTCCATGTCACAGATGGCAAACGGTGAGGAACAGCTCCTCGTCCCAGGCACCTCACCTCTTCAGTGCGAAAGCTGAGAACATGATTTAGGGTTGATATTCTCTTGGTCTCATTCCTAGGCAGCATTTTGTCTCAAGTCGTATCAGTGTCATCTTCAAGTTCCCTCTTCAGGTTCGTAAGCTTCTCGAGGGCTGTTGGTAATGATTTGTTTTTTCTCATGATGGATGAAAAGCAAAGTGTGGTTTAACACTGGAAGCAAAGTGGTTTTCTATTGGAAACTCCCAACAGTGTGAACACGTATTTTAATACTGAGATAAAATGAAAACTGGTCCATAGTGCTTTTGGCAATTCTATTCTTTATCCTTAATTATTCTTGCCTCCATTTAGCAAAGCACTCGCACAATTTCGCTCCGTTTCCTGCGAGATCCCCTCTGCATTTCAAAGTCCAATTCAGCTGAGAACCTCAATTTGCTGCTTACAGAAAACGGGATTTTCTCAGCAGGAGTTCAGCTATGAGCCTCAATGAGCGGAGGCCTCTAAAACTAAGATTGATTCCATTTGGAAAGCAGGTTTGTTTCTGCCTCAAACTGAAGATGCACGTTCCTGCTCTCCATTTGTAGAAGAGCAAGAGAGGTAATTGGAAACAGAGTGATAGAAGGCTAAGAACGTTGTAAAATTCCGTAAAACAAGTGTGTATTACAGGCATTACAAAGGAAAAAATAAATCCCCTTCAGTACTACGCACCTCTACAGCACCTTTTAAAAGTCCTCAAAGCACTTACTGTTAAGCTCACAGCTTTGCTGCGAGGTAAGATTGATGAAATCAAATCCACCTTCCCTGATTCTGAGCAGTGTGAGAAGCAGGGCGTTTCACCCAGCTTGTTTTGTTCTGACAGTTCAACTGCATCCTTCATTATCCGAATTAAAGTCTTGCTCCTCGACAGTCATCGCTGACAAATCAAACACATTAAGGCAGAATGCAGATGAAGAAACCTCAGGCCTCCCTTCCGGATTTACTACTCCGTCCTTCTAAAAAGGGTAAGACTTCTTACCAGCAAAAACAACTGAGAACTAGACCTTAAAGTGCTCATTTACAGTATTTGGAATCTGCTACAGCTTAGTAACACTGTGGCCGTGAGATCAGCTACAGCCAAATGAAGACCATTCCAATGTATTAGACAGATGCAAATTAAGATACTTCCCTAATTACCGTATTTTCCTCCTGCCAGAAGTTGAGATATTAAGAAGAACCCAAGTATTCCCAGTAACATGCCTATGTTCCGATGCAGTGTAAACACCAAGGGGCTGATAGTTATTTTCCAAGCAACTAAAAACTACCTATGGAGGATTAATAAGTTTAATTCAACACTTAACCACCTACTCGTTACTTTTAAGAAGGCTATCTTAAAGCTTAAAGGCCACCTCTTCCTCTAAAGCCGTGACTTCACAAACGATACATTCTACTTCTGATAGTAACATAGTGGAGGGCAGCTTTAGGGATGCTCTTTCCACTAAAAGCTGTGCACCCTATGAGCAGCAGCAGGGCTGCTTCCATGCGCAGAGTCTATTTTTTAGTATAAATAGTGCTGATACACACATTTCCTAAACCCTTAATTTAATTACCCTGAAAACATAATACTAATAGATTAATTCAGTAATTTAGAGGCTCGCTTTTTACACTAGTATTGAACAAGCCTGGTTCTGTATGGCCACTCAGAGCACACACACAAAGAGAAGATTATTTCAGAAATCAGGTTTTAGCTGCCAGTGTATTTCACCTGCCAAATGACTCTAAATTAGCATGCGAGAAGACAACCTATTTCAGATCAGTTGGAAAAGTCACTAACCCCACAAACCTGTGCATCTTGGCCATCGTTTATACGCTTTTCAAGCTCTGTGAACGGAATTTTGTGATTACATACAGCTTATCTGGAAATCCAGAATTTGATTCCGGATGAGTGAGGTAGTAGATGTAACCATCCTCATGCAGGTTGTCACACCTCCCCAAAGTTGGTGTGTCCCGTCTCCTTGGCGTGTTCTCTGGCTTCCACTTGTCCCGTCAGTCCCTTCTGGCACACCATGCACCTCAGCATGAAGCGATTCACGTCAGTGAACTGCCTCTTCCGTCTGGCTTCGTCTGCTAGCTCCAAGGCTTGTGCGAGAACAACATCATCAGAAGTAGAGAAAATGGTCTGGGGAGGAACGTCCGAGTCGGGGATTTTACGCTCGAGCGGATCGTAATGAATCCCATCATAGATCAACAGGACCCGCTTGGTGTACCCGGCATCCTCCCCGAAACGATCGATTCTGACTGTCTGCGTGTCCACCACACAGATTTCACACTGATAAAACTTGGATAAAATGGAAACCTCGATGGCTCCCCCCCAGGTTTCATCCCTCCGGATCCAGTCGCAGTATTCCCTGTTGGTTTTCCCCAGCACTGCTTCACAATACGCCTCGGGGTCGCTGGCTACGATCTGTGCGATGAGGCTGCGCATCTCCGGGGCACAGCCGGGGTCGTACACACCTCCCTCCACCACGTAATACACGCTGGTGAACAGACACGAGTTATCAGCTGGTACCACCCTCCTGGCCAGCACGGGGACCGCTTCCCTCACCGCCATCATCCTCTTGGCCACGACCGGAGAGCCGGCGCTGGGCTTGGACGTGTCCTCCTCCACGATGAGCGTGTCTCCTGTCAGACAGAGGGGAGAGCTGAGCGCACAGATCGGCACAGAACCGAATCGCTAAGGTCTGAAAGGAACCGACAGCTCACGCCCAACCACCGACCCATCCCCGCCGGACCCACGAGTGCCGCATCCCTGCGGTTCTCGAGCACCTCCAGGGCGGGGACCCCGCAGCCTCACCCGGCGCTCCGCTCCAACCCCCCCTGGCCCGCCGCGCTGGGTCACAGCCTCGTTTAATTAAGCTAATTGCAGCCCGCGGGGCAGCGGAGATGATAAAGCGCAGGCGCTGCCGCCCAGCAGGCCTCACCCGAGTGGATGCCCAGCTCGCCCAGCCGCCGCTCGCCGTCGCTGAGGTCGAGGCTCCGCGGAGGGAAGCCGAGCAGCAGCCGCTGGGCAGGGGCGGGGACGCCGGTGAGGGCGGCCAGGGCGGCCTGCATGTCGCGGAGACGGGAGTGTGCCGTGAGACCGGGCAGCGGCTGGGTGCCGCTCCGGGCCTTGCAGCGCAGCCGCAACATCCTTCGCGCGGCCGCCGCCCCCTCCTTCCTCTTCCTCCCTCCTCCTCTTCCTCCTCCCCCCGCCCGCCCGTCTCTGCTTCCGCCCCGGCCCAGCGCCCGCTGTTTCTCGCGAGATCTTTTTCCGCGCTGTTTCATTGTGCGCTGGGCCGCTCTGCCAATCGCGGCGCGCGCCGCGGCCGGTGTCGATCTTATTTGCATGCAGGGCGCGCTTGGGGTTGTGGCGTAGCGCCGTTCTCCCGCCCGCTTGCCGGGGAGCGATTTACATCTCATTTGCATGCAGCGCGGCGGCGCGGAGCCATGGCGGCAGCGTACCGGCACGGCGGCAGCGCGCCGCGGGGCAGAACCGGGGCCCAGCGCGGCGGGGAGAAGAAGTGCTGTGAGTACCGGGGCGGAACCGCGCACGGAGCGCTTTTCGCGGAGGAAAGAAAAAAAAAAAAAAAAAAAAAAAAAAAAAAAAAAGCGGTTGTCGGATTCGCTTGTAACAAAACGCGCGGTTCCCACGGCACGCGTGGATTTGAGTGCGCGCGGCGAAGCCCCGCTGTGCCGGTGCCCTTCGTGCTGCTGACAACCTCAGCTCAGCCTCGCTGCAGCTCTGCTGCCTCCTGACCTCCTGTTTTCCGTGACCATCTGCTTAAACCCATGTTTTCTTCCATCCTCAAGCCATTTTTCTTCTGCCCTTGGCAGCCCGCGTCTCCTGGGTAAATATTTGTCCCGCCGAGAACCGCGTTAGCCCCATTAGCTGCAGCAGGTGCACCGCTGCTAATCACTTTCATTAGCTAACACTGCTTGCAGGACTCATTAGGAGTCGCAGCCAGCTGCAAGCAGGACGGCCGGCTCTGTCTGTCCGCTGGGCTCCACGCTAACGTTTTCCTGCAGCGTGGGCATCCTACATGACCAACTCGCCCACCCTCATCGTGATGATCGGGCTGCCAGCGCGTGGCAAGACCTACGTCTCCAAGAAGCTGACACGTTACCTCAACTGGATCGGGGTGCCCACCCGAGGTGTGTGTCCCCACGGCCCCCTGCCCACAGGTGGGAGGGTGTCGGTGGGCACCCATGTCAGCACGGCGTTATTTTGTGTCCCAAGTGTTCAATTTAGGGGTGTATCGCCGGGAAGCTGTCAAGTCCTACAAATCCTATGACTTCTTCAGGCACGATAACAAAGAAGCGATGGAGATCCGCAAGTGAGTTGGCGTCACGGGGCTGCGCAGATGGCCTGCGGTCTGCTTAGGCTTGGGGTTGGCAGCCCGTGTGTTTCTGTAGCACAAAATAACATTGAATGGCACGGAAGGAGGTGGTGCGGTGCGCAGATCCATTGGCAGGATCCCTGGATGCGTGGGAATGTTACTGGCATCAGGAGAAATAGATGGAAAGGAGGGGCTTGGAGCACCCAGGGGAGCAGGGAGTGCAGGGGATACCTTGGGTGCTGTTCCCAGGTGTGGATTTTTGCCCTCAGACATGTCTTTTTGAGGGCAGTGGGGCTGGGGGTCTGCATGGAGCCTCAACTGGTAGAGGCAGCAACTGGGGCATCCCAAGGGCAGGGATGGGAGCATGGGAAAATGGGGATTTAAACAGAGTTGAGCTCTGTAGAGCCCCCAGGAGTTGGGGCACCCAGCCTCGCTTCTTTCCATCTGAGGAGAGAACAGCCAGCTGAATTTTTCCCAATCTCAGAGACTCGGAGGACCTCCAATCTGAATGCCTTGCACCTGCTCTGACACTGCGTTTCTCTCCTGCAGACGATGTGCCTTGGTGGCCCTACAGGACGTGAAGGCGTACCTCCTGGAGGAGTGTGGGCAGATAGCTGTAAGGCTTTTCCCAGCCAAACACACCATGGGGGCTTCGTATCTGGGTTGTTCAAAACTGCCCAGGGCATTCGGGAACCCAAATGTAACCCCTAATCATTTGGGGCTGTTTTAGAAGCTGCAGATAAACTTTCTCATTGCCACTTATTTTCTGATAGGTGTTCGATGCAACCAACACAACTCGGGAAAGACGGGACCTGATCTTAAATTTTGCTAAGGAAAATGCTTTCAAGGTAGCACTGCTGTATTTAATTTGTGATTGTGATCACAGTGCTGGAGCTGTTTTTGACTTGTGATTTAAACCAGAGCTCTTGGTCCTCTAAAACATGTTTCACTGCCTCCTTCACAGGTGTTCTTTGTGGAATCCGTGTGCGACGATCCGGAGGTCATTGCTGCCAACATCCTGGTACGTTGCCAGGCTCTGTGCCACGGAGCTGCGTGCTGTGCAAGGTCACCAGCTCTGCTCACAGCACTGCTGCTGGGTTGTTGGCATTAGGGTTGATGTGCACAGTGCAGGGTGGTCGGGATCCCGCTCAGACGGCTGCTGATGGTTGCAGGCATTCCCTCTGCTGCAGGTGCCAGCTGGGGGCTGAAGCTCCGTGTGTCACCTTGCTGCTCCTGCAAGGAGGGCTGGGGGCTGAACGAGGCTTCCGCATAGTGCTCTTACATCTCAGCTTGTAAATACTATTGGAGGTTCATGGGTTGTAAAAACTGAAGGTGCAGTTGTTGAAGTTGGATGTGAGCTGAAGCCGAACAGTGTTTGACCTTGAACATGGGATGACAGGCAGCTATGTCTGCACCGGGGCCAAGCGCTGCAGTGTGCCTCCCCCATTGCCTTTTGTTGCATTGCCAGGAGCAGGTTTTTCCACTGGGCAGCACTAAACAATGCTGACTAGTTTCAGAAGGGAAGGATGATGATGTTCAGTGCTGCTTTTGCTCCCTGTCATGTTTGCTCAGCTTTCCCCATGTGCCTCTTTCTGCTCGACAGGAGGTGAAAGTCTCCAGCCCCGATTACCCCGAAAGAAACAGGGAGAATGTGATGGATGACTTCCTGAAGAGAATCGAGTGCTACAAGGTCACGTACCAACCCCTTGATCCCGATGAGTACGACAAGTAAGCAGCGAGCCCGGGCTGTGCTCTGTCCCTGAGCTGCTTTGCTTTGCTGCTTTGTGTTCTGTGCCCAAAGACTTGCAATGCTTGTGCTGAAGCACTCCCGAAGCTGAGATTTGCTCGTGCGAAGGCGATGCCCTCAGGTTGCAGTGGATTTGAATGTGATGCTCCCTGTGCAAGCACGGTGTGTCCTGTGTCCCCGCAGTGGCGCTGATGCCTTTAACTCAGGGCAGAGAGCTGGGGGACGCCTGCACGTGTGTCAGTTGTCAAACCCGGCGTGTGGGTGTTCTTATTTTATGTTGACTCCAGAGATCTTTCCTTCATTAAAGTGATCAATGTGGGACAGCGGTTCCTAGTGAACAGAGTCCAAGATTACATCCAGAGCAAAATCGTCTATTACCTAATGAACATCCACGTGCAGCCACGCACCATCTACCTCTGCCGGCACGGCGAGAGCGAGTACAACCTCCTTGGCAAGATTGGAGGGGACTCTGGGCTGTCACCACGCGGCAAGCAGGTGTGGGTCTGCAGCACCCAGATGGCTGCACTGCAAAGGAGGTGTGGGGGGGCAGCTGCCCTGTGCAGCTCCTGAGCTCCTCTGCCCTCTCTCAGTTTGCACAGGCGCTGAAGAAGTTCATTGAGGAGCAGGAGATTGTGGAGCTGAAGGTGTGGACCAGCCAGCTGAAGCGCACCATCCAGACAGCTGAGTCACTGGGGGTCACCTATGAACAGTGGAAGATCCTCAATGAGATTGATGCTGTGAGTGGGGCACGGTGAAGCCTTCTGCTTTTCTAGGTGGAAAATAATTAAATTGGGCATAAAAGTGTTTCCTGACCTTTGCTCGAGTTTTCCAGCCATGGCTGTGCATAACACCCTCCACCCCTATCAGGAGGTTTGGGGTCACTCACTAGGGCTGAAAGCACCTGGAACAGTTAGAGCTTTGCACAGCAGCAGACCTTGCACTCCAGCTGGTGTTGGGAGGAGTGACATTGAGCATCCCACGCCCTTGTGGGGTGTATGCAGTGCCTTGCTGCTGGGCGAAGGTTGGCACTCTCACTCTGTTTTTGAGGGCAAAAGAAATGCTGGTGTTGTGCTCGTATTTGTGTACTGAATTGCTGTACACCTCCTGAAGTGATGCTGCACGGAGTTGTGCTTCCTGCAGGGGGTGTGTGAAGAGATGACATATGCAGAGATCGAAGCCAAATACCCTGATGAGTTTGCCTTGAGGGATCAGGAGAAATACCTCTATCGCTATCCTGGAGGAGAGGTGAGAGCACTTAAGAGAAGCAGAGTGCTGCAGTATGCATTGGGCAATGTGTGATGAGTGAAATGGAGGGGCGTTGCTTGGTTTCAGCTCTCTGTCCCCAGTATTTCCATGAGAAATCAAAAGCCCTAGTGAACCCAGCTCTCTTAGAGGAAAGGAGCACTGCTTGCTGTTCCAGCAGTGTGTGAAGCAGGTTCATTGTGCTGCTCTCAGTTGGCTGAAGCTGAGTTGTCCCTATGGAAAATCACCCTGGGAGAGAGAAATGGCTGTGGGTGGGGATGGAGTCACTTCTGGTTTTACTTTACAGCCATATTTAAATGTGTAATTTAGTGGTTTATTTTCTTTTCAAACTGCACTTGCTAAGAGTTATCACTAACCTGAACTTCCTGTAATCTGAGGGTTGCTGCCATCCAATTTCACCCAGAGCTGTTTCCTTTTTTTCCCCTCTATTTACTCCATCACTTCTGCAGTTTGATGCTTTAACCGATACTTTCCTGAAGGTGAAGCTGCGTTAATTGCTACTTCTGCTCCAAGTCTGTTTATAAAACCCCTTACAAAAATTCCTGTTTTGTTTTGCAGTCCTACCAGGACTTGGTTCAGCGCCTGGAGCCCGTAATTATGGAGCTGGAGCGGCAGGGCAACGTCCTTGTCATCTCCCACCAGGCAGTGATGAGGTGCCTCCTGGCTTACTTTCTGGATAAGAGTGCAGGTACAAAAATAAATGCATGCTGGTGGGGGCTGGCTTCTATTTTTGCTCTTTTTCGGGGTTTTTGGGTGGGTGTCTGGTAATTGCTGTTTTGATTTTTCTTGACAGTGGAGGAACTGCTTTAAAAAAGAAAAAAAAAAACCCAAAAAAAACACAAAACACCCATTTCTGAAATGGTTTAACCATTGCATTTCAGCAGAGCTTTGCAGGATGTGCCCCGTGAGGGCAGAGCGCTGTCTGCTCAGTGCCTGCCCTGCTGCCTTTCTGCTCAGCCCTCGTTTCCAGAAGTGCTTCAACCAGGAGCATCTCTATGGGATTTGGGTTTTTTTGATTTAAGGGAACTGTGCTCTGGTGGAGCAGTGAGGGCAGTGCTCCATGGCACAACGATGCTCTGCAGGACACATGTGAAACACTATATGCAGCGTGCTCTGTGATGGGAATTGGCTCCTCCTCACTTTGCAAAGAGCACTGCTCACTGATCAGCACAGAGCAATCTGTTGTGGGAAGAGCACTGTTTGAGGTCACTTCAAGAGAAAGCACCAGGCCCCTGGAAGCTGGGGCATGCTGCTGGGGCAGTGTGATGCTGAGCAGTGCTGAGCTGCTGTAGTTCTCCCTGTGCTTTGGGTTGGGTTTCCCCTGAGCGCCGCTGGGGGGCTGTGGTGGAACCTTTGCTCCTGAAGGTAAAGCTGATGCTGCTGCCTCTCCTGCAGATGAGCTGCCCTACCTGCGCTGCCCCCTGCATGCCATCCTCAAGCTCACCCCCGTCGCCTACGGTACGTGGCTCCTTTGGGTGGTGGGTGCAGCTGTGTGTGGAACAGCAGTTGTTGCTGTCAGTGCTTTTGGTGATGGCGGTGGGAGCAGTGGGATGGTGTGTGTTGGAGGTGTAGATTGGATACAAGGACAAAGTATTTCACAGTAAGTGGGGTGGATGTCCCCATCCCTGGAGACACTCGAGGTCAGGGGATGAGGCTCTGAGCTCTCACAGTGAGGGTCAAAGCCAGGAAGTAACTGAAGTGTGAATTCTCCATGCAGATGAACTGTTCATTGAGATTTTTTTGTTTTAGTTTAGAAACAAGTAACAACCTTCTGCTCACTTGGCATGCACTTATAATATGATTTTATTCTACGTGGGTTAGGAAATAAATTGCACTTCCTCCAATAAACTCCTCATTCTGTTTGGGCAAGGTTGTAAAGTGGAGACGATCAGCCTGAACGTGGAAGCAGTGAACACCCACCGGGACAAACCTTCCCTGAACTCAGTAAGTTGAGCTGCCTTGTTCTGCCTCGTGGTTCATGTGATTGCTCAACATTTGCCTTCTGTGGACATAAGTCAGTTGAAACTCTCCCTGCTATAAGTGGTTGCTTTCAGTGCCAGCAAGGCTGCTTCAGAAGCAGAACTCATTGCATGTAGAGTTGTATGTGCTTCCCAAGACAGTGGGAGATATTTGGAACAGGTATTCTATGGGGTGGAAGTGGGCAAACTGAAGCCACTTGGGTTAGGATGTACATCTTTAAATGCTAGGTCTCGTTGTTAAGGCTTGTTTGGTGTGTCTGCTTGGATTAGTGCTATTAACACAAAGTAGTTAGGGAGTTCCTGCTGCCTTCCTGAGCTCTCAGCCCATTGCAGAGCCATAGGCACTGTAAGGCTGCACCTTGGGGTGCATTGTGGGGTCAGCAGCCCCAGGACAGGCTGCTGCTGTGCTGTGGGAGGGAAGCATGGGGCTCATCCCTTCCTTTGAGGTGAGGATGTTTGTAGTGTGCTGGTTGGTGGCTCTCTGCCCTTGCCCTTGTCTTTGTGGATCTCACCAATGTTTTGCAAGCATTCTGTGGAAGTTTCCACCGTTTTTGTGCTCACTTGTGCAGGCATGCTTTTGTTTTGCAGAGTGCCTGCAGGTATTGGGGAATGCCACTGAACAGCTGGTTCAGTAAGGCTCCCCAGTTAAGCACCACAAAACCTACCACTGCATTAAGTTGCAGGGGAGCTGATCTGAACTGAGCACATTTTCAGCTCCAGTGGTGCATGGAGGCTTTTAGCCACCCCATGGCATTGGAGGAGGTTCTAGAAAGAGCTCCAAGGGAGAAGGGTTATCTGCCATTGTCTCAGACTTGTTGCTTTGCTGCTCGTGTGATTCCTGTGCTGAAATCATTGGTGCTGCTTGGAGGAGTCAGAGGATGCTCCTGCTCTGCTTCCTTGGGAACAAACTACTTTGAGAGCAGAAATACAAATAAGGGAAGTTTTTCTATTTTTTTTTTTTTTCTCCTGAATCAATTGTAAAAATCAGTAAGCAAAAAAACCCAAAACAAAACAACCCAACACAAACTAACTCCAAACCCAGAAGGAAGTAAATCTGCAAGCAAAGCAGGCGTAGGACATCCACCACCGCAGGTCTGCATGTGGCCAGAGGCTCTCGGGGATGCACTGCAGTCGTAACATCTCCTTCCCCTTTTCCCTTCCTTGTGATGTCCTCCACCTGCAACCAGAGCTGCCTTCCCATGATCCAGAGCCCAGGCAGGATGAGGAGGAGCAGCCTGACGCCGCTGGCCAGCACGGCCACGGAGCAGCGCCCGCGGCATCACAGCGTTGGGAGCGGCCCCACTGACCTGCAGGTTCGAGGTGCAGCTGCTCAACCCCGGCTGCAAGCCACTGTCCAGGTGGTGCCTTGCTCTGCTTCCCCTCCCGTGCCACCCATGTCACCCAACCATGGCTGTAGTCCCGGCAGAAGTACCCCCAAATACCCAAATGTCACTGGGAATCATTCTGCATTGGGCACTCTGAAAATAAACAAGGCAATGCATGAAAATCTCTCCATGAAGCTAGAATTGTGGTGCCAGAGGTTTATAGAACCCTGTCCCGTGCAGGCAAGTTTCCATTGTTCCATCCACCCAATGAACCATTGGGTGGTTCATTCTGGGCCGTGCTTTCCAACAAAAGCTTGATTGGAAAGAGTTACAAATATCATCTCTGTCCAAATGTGTTGGTGCAGCCAAGTGCTGCTCTAGCTGTAGAGCAGTTGGGGAAATCCCAGTGCTCAGTGCCTATGTACGTTCCTATGGATCCCACCAGCAGCTGGTTGAGCAAAGGTTGGGCTCCTGGTGTTTGGGTGCTGCTTGGTTTTTTGCCACCTCGCACTTCTTTTTGTTTGAAATCACATAGATCCCCATCAGCGTGGTATGTGAAGCCCCACTTGCTTCTTTGCAGGTTGAAAATTGGTTCTCTTTGCTGTGTCCCATCACGTGAGGTGGAGGGGGGAGGTTGGAGGCTCCTGGTTGGGGTCATTGTGCATTTTGTTCCCCTTGGTGCAGTGTGAGACATCTTAGTAAAACTGTGGCTCTGCTATAGGGGGCTTCATTTTCAGATAACAATTAACAGCTTTAATCTCAGGCATCTTACAGCTCGGTATTTTCCAAGCTGTTTGCACTTGTGCTGTTTGCAGTTGTGCTGTTTGTAGTTGTGATGCTGTAGCATCAAAAACTTTGAAGCTCAGGAGCCACTGAGCTCCTGGGCAGGGATGGTGAGTGCTGTCCTGGAGCTCTGCCCTGGATGGAGCCACTCAGTGAGCTGCTGCAGCTCAGGTGCAAGCCTGCAGTGATCTCCCTACCCTGAACCCCTTGGGTTGCTTCCCTTCTTTCCTCATTTCCTTCACTGCTGTTACTGTTGCTTGTAAACTACCTTTAAAGTGCACTTTGAGCTCTCCTATGCTGTTTCTTTTTCCTTTGCAGCCTCAAGTGGGAAATGCTTGCCTGTGAGTACCGCTGAGAGCAGCTTGTGTGCGTTCTGTTGTGCTTTAGTAAGTAGGACTTCTCTTGGCTGAAGTTGCATGGAAACTACTTTGGGAAAAGACAAATGCACTGAGCAGAAGGAGGTCTTGCTGTGCAGTAATTAGTCACTAAGGGGACCTTGATGGTTGCAGAGTGCTAGCAGGGCTGAGGTTCCATCCACAACCCTTCTGTGCTGTCACCCTTAAGGTGATGCTGTCCATCACAGGGCACTGCAGGACGTGGTACCAGTGGTGTTCTCCTGTGGCCTGGGCTGAGCTGCATGGATGGAGCAACAGGGAGAGGAGGGGTTCAGAGCTGCACTGGTGAGGATGTTTGGGAAGCAGCTCTGTGAGTGAGCCTTGCTGTGCTAGTAGGATTGCTGCTGCCTCCTCTATCATGTTCCCCTGGGGGCATCTTTGGGGTGAGCAGGGCAGAGCTAGTTTTCACCCACTGCACAGGAAGAGTGTTTTCTTGTCTATATACCCCTTTCTACGGAGCCAGCAGCCAGTGTCACCCAGGAGACCTTGGGCTCTCCCTGCTGTGCTGTTGCTGCAGCAGCTGTGGCAGACCCTGGGGTGACCCCTTGCTTTGCTTAGCAGATGCTTCACCTCATCCAGCTCGTGCACTGTTGTTTTGGTCCTGTAGAAGCTGGTTGCAATTCATGTTTGGGACCTGACTGTATGGGATAGCTCTTGGTGTGTTTCCCTGCACAGCCCATCCCCATGCATTTGGGATGACCACAAGATCCAATCTGCTTTTACCCATCTTTGTGAGCATTCTGGAAAGCTTTGGGTGTTGCATCTGCACTGCAGAATGCTGGACCCTGGGACATGGGGCTGCCTTTGACCTGCGGGCCCATCCTCTTGCTGCTGGTGCTTTGGCTTCAAATGCAGAGAGCTTGATTTAGTGGAAAGAGAGGGGAATGGTTGCTGGTTCCATTTCCTGATGGATGGAGGGAAGATGAAGGTTCGGTTGGGGAGGTTTTGCCTCACCTCCAGCTTCTGCTGTTGTGGGGGGAGATGAGTTTCCTCCTGATCTCATTACTCCTACTGGCATGAGCAGCTTTTGACTTGGCCAAAAGTCAGATTTTGCACTTTGTCCTTGAAGTGAAGCTCTTCCAGTTGTTTGTTTGTTTTTTCCATGAGACTCCCTGTCGTCGTGTAGAGCCTCAATTTATACACATTTCCTGGGATAAAAAGACACAGGACTGGTCTTAAATTTACATCTCCTGTTTTTAACTTGCTGCGGAGAGGTTTTACTGGTAAAGCAATTCTACCCTGCCAAAGCTACAGAAGCACACACAGCCTTGAGTGGTGTTGAATGCAACCATGGCCTTCTTGGGAGCTGCCCAGCCTCTGCAATGCAAACACTGCAGTGTTTCACCCAAAGTTGCCTACATCCCAGCTTTCAGGGTCCTTAATGGTGAAGAAGAGGGGAAAAGCAGAAAGAAACTGGGCTGGGGGAGCTTGCAGTGCAACATTTCATAACATCCACAGCCTCAGTCCTCCAGCTTTGCCTTTGTTCTCTGAACTGCAAGGGGCTGTGTTTAGAAAACGAATGCATGTGCCAGCTATGAAAAATTACCCTTCTAACATTATGCTTCAAGTTCCCTTTTGTTTAAAATAATAATAATAATAATTCCTCAGGGGCATCCAGGAAGGGAGTTTGGTCCAACTTCCTTCATTCCTCTGCAAACCCTCTCTTAATAGTGGTGCTTTGCTTGAGAAAACAGCATGTGAGCAGCTATTGTGAGTTAACTGATGGTTACTTATTAAGTGTCACTGCTGGGAAAGCTGTTCAGATATTATATTTTTCTTATCACAAGTGGAAAGAACGTAGGGTCTGCGTTTCCTGAATGTTGGACAGAAATGTTGATGCCTGCTGCTAATTGTCAGCAAATTGGCTTGAGAGCTGTGCCTGCTGTTTTAGTGCAGAACAGTGATGGTTGGGTAAGGAGGTAACAAGACAAACGGTGTGCATTGATTGCACACCCCTTTGCAGTGTCCAAAGCACTGCTGTGCACTGCAGCTCAGGTCTCTGGGACCAATGTCTGTGCTCTGGGATGTGGAATGAGCAGCAGCTGCTGCAGGGCATCATGTCTGTCAGGTTTTAGTGAATGCAGCATTCACTTGTACTGATGCGTGTTCCTTCTGTGGCCCTTGGTGAGACACTGGAAGGTGTTTTATCAGAACCAGAAGTGTTCATTGTGGCTGATAGGAGAATTTATTACTGTGACTTTTCTAACATTTGTCTGGAAGCGTAATTTCCTGCGGAGAGGAATAAAGCAGAGTGACCCTGAGTAGCAATCGACCTCATTCTTGCATGGTGCTCAGTGAAGGTTGCATGCCCAGGGTTGGGGCAGCTGGGAGAGCTCTGCAAGAGGCTGAATGGCAAAGCAGGAAGAAATTATCTGCTCAGGAACAAGTTCATTAGCAGATCCTTGGGTGGATGCAGCCAGGTAGATCCACTGCGCGGAGCTGGTTGGATTCTGTGCTGTGAAGCATCTTCTGTGGTGTCCTGTGGTTTAGCACCCGTGGGTTGAGCCGTGTTCCAACCTGTGCCTTTCTCTCCACAGAGGCTGGCTGGCCTAGAGGTGGAGGGCTGCAATGGACAGCAGGAGCCTGATGGGACACGGTGCCAGCTGGGAGCGCAGTGAGCAGTGCCTTCCTGCAGCCATCCTGTCCTTGTGAGCACTCAGTGTCTGCCATGGCACTGCAGAAAACTTCCTGAGAAGATTTTTTCAGCTGCTTTTAACGTGTGTGTGCTTGTGTGTGTGAGCAGCAGGACATGTGAGTGAGCTTGTCCCCATGCTTTGAGGCCTCTGGGCCTCTCCCTGCTTGCTGAAGCAACGTTTCTTTGGAAGATGTTCTCATCAGACCCAGTTCCCAGGTTTTATTCAATCTTTATCATCTCTGAGCTCAAACACAGTTACTCAGTGCAATTTAACAAGCAGAAGCACTCCAGGTATCGCTTGGCTTCTATGGCTGTTGCTTTGAATCCCCCCAGACCTGAGCCTCTTGCTTTACTTTGGGAAGGGTTTTGCATGTGCTGTGGCAAAAGGCACTTACAGGATTGTCCAGTCCTACAAGATGACCCACTGCAGGGGACAAGGACATGATGTGCTCACTTGTGCACTCCATGCTCATTGCCATCTTGGAACAGCCAAGCTGCTTCTGGGTTCAAACCCTGCTTTGGTTGTCCACTGCATGCCTCACCCTGTTCTCTTTTCTCCTGGGCTTTGTGGATGCTTTTCTCTTGCAGCAAAAATTCCTCACTCTGCATTGCACAGCACTGTTTTCTTCCTGCATTCCATGCTTACTGTCCTGTTCCCTTTACTTTAGCCAAAACCTCTCACCATCAGCTTGGATGTTTTGCACTCATACATGCATCAGAGAATTGTGGATTCATTGACCAAAGCTTAGTCATGCTAATTCTGCAGAACATTTCCTATTGCTATACCCATTTTGAGATGTTGTTGTTGTCAGAAGGTAGTGAAGGGCCCGGGCTGTGGGTGAGGTGAGGAGCAGCAGTGGGGCCACGTGTGTGTGTGCTGTGTGATGGTTTTTTACTCGTCTCTTGTACCAATTTTTAGACCCACAGCACATTTCTGTACTCACATGTGAGTAAGCTGTGAATGTTGCTGATGTAATGCTGCCTTTTGTGGAGCTGAAGCTGTTGAAGTATTTAGGGCACAGGTGGTGCACTCCTTCAGTGCTGGCTGCCTGTTATTGGGTTGCCCTGCCAAGAGGTGGGGTGATGACACTCCGAGTTTTCACTTTTCTCTTACGAGTTATTTGCCAAACTCCATTTTCTCTCACTCCTAATGTCCCCCTTGAAATTAGGGCAAAACTGTCAGGTTTGCAGCCCTGTGATTAGGTGAAGAAATGGGCATTTGGGGTTGAGGAGGATGCTGTTACAGACCTGCTCCGTCCAACGACTCCAAGATCTGTGATCATGGGACCCAGGCTGTGTGTGTTAAGTGTGTAAATCAGTGCCCACCCGCAGATACCTGAGCCCCACACACTCTGCCTGTGCTCAGTGGGCTGAGGCTTACCTGGGGATTTGTGTTGTAAACACTCCCACAGCTTTTATTCTCTCAAGCTGAGATGAGAGGCCACAGCAGAAGCCCCGAACGCTTTAGGATGTACAGTCTGCAAAAGTTTTATGTTGATTTTAACCAGTTATGCTCCAGAGGGATGAAATTCAGGGGGTAAAAAACCAGAGTTTTATTGGTTTTACTCCTTAGGTTGTTCCCACTGAGCAGTTGTCCTTGTTAGAAATAAGCCAGGGATGGGAGGAGAAAGGAAAGGAGAAACAAAAAGTTGAAGGAAGAGTTCTATAGGCTGCATAGCATAGCAGTGATCCTCCAATGCACAAACATGCTGGGGTGGGCTGGCTGCAAACCTGCAGCATCAGAACCACCAGCAGATGCCTACTGTGAGCTGTTCACGCACAATGTGGTGTAATAACTGGTGGTGAGGAGTTAGGTGTATGTGTAACGTTAAGGAGCTAATGGCTGTAAAGAGGCACAGCCATGTTTTCCTGCCAGAATTCATGAATGTAGCTGATGAGTGTCGGTAGTCATCAGTTTTTAATTGCTGCTTAATGTCTGCTCTGCAGTGGTGGCTGGCTGTGGGTTGCTGTGCTCCCCAAGCGATGCTGCAGCAGCTGCATGCTGGTGCTGGGACAGAGCCATCTGCAGCAGCCAGACCGTCCCTCAGCGCTTTAAGCCAAAGCACAGCTTCTCCTACTGCATCTTAACTTAATACCTGTGTCTGTAAGGCAGAGCAGTGGCAAATTCCCAGTGCAGGTGAATGATAGGGGACAGCGTGGGTGCTGCAGGTCCCAGGTGAGCCTCTGCCCGTGCTGGGTGCCAGGCACTTCCTTGAAACCACCTGACTGCCCTGGCACCGCTCATGCAAACAGCTCAGGATAAATAAGGGTTGCACAATTTACCTGAATTTAGGCTTCACGGGGGTTTGCACTGCTGGTCATACTGTGGTGTTGGGCTGTGTTCAAACGCTCCAATAGCTCACCATGGGCTGAATGTCCAGCGGTGGGCTTGCCTGCTTTGTGAGCATTGCACCAGCACCAGATCTTACTCCTGTATCTCCCTGATTTCTATTTCCATCCGCTTTTGATGTCAGAGGTGCTCTGTGCTGGTCTCAGGGTGCTGCTCTGCATTACTGTGTGCTGCTTGCAAGCTGCATCCTTGTGCTGTGCGTGGGGAGGGTGATGTTTTGTGTTTCACAGAGTTCTGCTGTGTTACTGCTTTCTAATGGTCTTTTTTTCTAGGTTTTAAAGAAAAAAGCAATGTATGCAGAGTTGTTGTGTTGTGTACCCTTTGCACTTACGCACAATTACCCCATGAGCGTTTATTTACAATACAGAGGTTTTAAAAATAAAATCTTGTTTCCTCTCCCTTTCTGTGACTGTTTGCTGTAACTGCGTCACCAAACCAGCACACAGTGGGTGATGCTGAGCTCAAAGAGTGCATGGGAAGCACTGGGGGTGAAGGTGTGCTTGGGGCAGGGGGCTTAGGAGCAGGAGAGGTGGGTGCCATCCTCTTGCCTAAGTAATCCATGTTGAAAATGATGATGTTGGAGGAAGCAGAATTCACATTTTCAGATTTCTTGAGGTGTTACGTTAAGAGCAAATCTCTTTTTCTAGAAAAAAACGTCTAGAAGAGCAATGGGTGAAATCACTTTGGAAGATGCCTGTGCTGATTGAGATGTTGGATAACTCCAGTTCTTCCTTCTGCTCTTCTCCAAGAGCAGAGATCTGCTGGATTTGCACGTGGTTTAGAGGGAAGCTCTACCTCTGGCACTTTTATTTCTGATGACGTTAATAGCATTCATTCTCTTGCAGTCCCACTTCTATCTTGCAGTGACACCCTGGATGACATGAAGGAATATCCTTTTCTTTCTGCTTACCCAGCTGTGAGGTGGGGACAGATGAGAGGCACTGCATGGCCCTGTGGGTGCAGCTGCGTCCCGATGCCTTCAGCACACACAGGTGGGCTTGTCCTGTGTCAGCTGGAGAGAATAAACCAGGAGAGCCCATGTTTGGGTTTGGGATTAACTGGGTTTCTTGTAAATAGTCAGCAGAGGTCACTGCCTGCTGGTAGTGACTAAACAAGGCCCAGCTTGCTGTGGTTTAGAGAACCAAATCTGCTCTTTTGCATTTTGGCTGGGGCTTAGGCAGGCTTTGGGAAGGTAATGTTTCCCTCTGGGGCTGAGGATGGGAGATGGTTGGGTTTTTGTGGGGTTTTTTTGTTTGTTTTTGCCAAAAGAAATCTTTGCTCTGGCAGAACCAGCCATGAGAAATGCAACCCGGGGAGAAAAGGGCACTGTTGAATTTGTGATAGCAATTGAAGCTGAAGTGAAAATGCACGAAGTGCAAAAGGAGCAAATGGTTGTGGCCTCTGCCAACGCTGTTGGTGGAGAACAGTAGGAATTGTGTGCAGCATCAGTGGAGGGGCTGAGCCCAGAGTGCTGCTGAACTGAGTGAGGAAACCCTGTGGGCATTGCCATAAAGCTTTCAGGTAAGAACTGCAGTGCCCAGAGGGATGCCATCATCTTGAGGACACGCATGGGCATTGTGCAGGGACCAGCTCTGGATGCCTGCACCCCCAGACTGTTTCGACTGGCAGCTTTGCACACAAAGCAAACAATTTCAACATCTGCTTGGGTCGCATTCAATTTTCTAGCGTTTTGTTTCGTAGGTTGGGTAAACATCTTCTTTCTTGCTAGGAGGAGTTAATCATTGATAGGCAAATTGGCACGGGTCTGGTCCCTGCAGAGCATGCAGCTGGCTATGTTGCAGCCATTTCTGAGCGTGTGGGTGGATCAGAACCCCTCCTTCAGCACAGCAGGGCTGTGTCAGTGCCTTTGGATGCACCCATCGCTGCCTGCAGAGCCCAGACTGGTGCCGTCCTCTGCAGAGCCCAGGTAAAGTGAGCTGAGCTCCAGGAGTGGGATTTTGGGGTGTTCTTGCAGCTTGACTGAGCTAAGGGAAAAGTAAAATAAATTGAATTAAACCAAGAGCTGTAATAGGGAGTGAAGGAAAGCCAGAACAATGAATCAGCAGCAAGAAGAGCTCAGCTAGGGCAGTGGAAAAAGGGAGGAGTGAATTTATTAGGATGTGCTTAGCTTTCCTTTCTTTCAGTAAGCAATTTCTCATCAGTCACATCTAGGCAAAGCACCAAGGTGGGCTGTATTGCTTCCAGGAGGAAGGTGGGCACTCGGAGTGTGTGTAACCCTGGGAGGGTTTGGGCTCACAAGGGATGATCCTGGAGAGCTGCAAGTCAGACAGTGCTCTGATCCTTAGAGCGGCCAAATATGCAAACTGAAGCTCAAACGTGCCAAGACCAGTGAAGGAAAGCCTACAGGAACAGCTTAGAATCTGCAATCGGCCATGGTGACTCCAAGAGTAAACTCAACGCTTTTCTCCCCTCCCCCACTATTTTTGAAGATATTTGGCCTGCAAAAAGAATGCTGTGACTTCTGCAACGTGGTCAGGATGATGATGGTGCCAGCTCTGGTGTCAGTGGGAGCAAGGGGCCGTGCTGCCGTCCTGGTGCTGCTCCTCACTGCTGCCCTGGTGGTGGGCACCCAGGGTAAGCAAAGATGAAGTGAGCTGAGCAGGGGAAACTGCTTCCTGAGGTTCACAAAACCTTGATCCTATCTTCCTCTTTGCCTTTGTGTTTGAAGAGACCTGTGAATCTGATCGCAACCGTCTTCCTTTGCCTTTTTGCTTTCTGTGCAGAATGGCTGTAAAATTATGCTAGGAAACAAAGGTGCACTGACTTGTATGCTACTTGAGGATAAGGAAGCTGTTGGTCTAGGATGTGTTACCATCCTTAGAAAGTGCTGGACAAGGTGTGAGCAGTGAAGAGTGATACATGGAGTGATGCTCATCCCCATTGCAGTCTGCCCTTCTCCCCTTTGCTTCCCTCTTCAATGAGTTTTATGGACTGGACTTTCAGAGCAAGCCACTGTCAAATTTGCAGTTTGCCCAGCGTTTTCCTGATGGTGTTTCTGTTGGCAGGTGCTTGCGGTGCTCCGCCACGGTTCTCATTTGCAGAACTGAAGGAGGACTACCTGCACAACAGGACTTTTTCCACCTCTGAAGTGGTGGAATACAGATGTCGGCCAGGCTACGTGAGGAATTACAGAGCCCGGAACACTTACATCTGTGAAAAGAACAGCTGGAAAGGATTGAACAACTTCTGCTTACGTGAGTACATTTGGGGTTGGCTTCTGATTTTGGGCGAATCCATTGGCTCGTTGGGCAGCATTCTGGTGGTGGGGAAGTGGTGGCAGTGGGATCTGTCTGGATGTTGCTTGCCCTTTACCACTGACTCTGGCTGTGCTCAGAAGTGCATTTTTCTCTCAGGTGCTTGTGAGCATTTAGTTCAATAACAGTATTTCAGGCTTTCAGTAGGAGAATCCTTTGGTCTTGACAGCAACACGGGTCATGTCACAAGCTAGAGTGGAAGGGGAAATCCAGAGAACTGCTGTCCATCTGCTTGCTCAGTATTTGAGAGGTCTTCTGCTCTCCTGCTGGGTGTTCCTGTTTCTCCATGAACCTGCAGAACTAACTCTGGTCCTGTTGTCCCCCAGCAAAGCCCTGCAGTTACCCTGGAGAGCCAACCAATGGCAGGCTTGTGGAAGTACAGCAGTTCACCTTTGGGTCCACAGCAAACTACAGCTGTGACACTGGGTAAGCTGGGAGTACTTGGGGTCCTGCAGGTCCTTGTGACCCTGAGGGGATGTCCAGCCCAATTTCCTGTGAAATAGTGACTACAGAGCCAATGCTCTGACTCTGCAAATCAGATACAAGCTAAAAGGCCTTTATATTCCCTGGTGGGTTTTCTGAAGTCCTTTTGTTCTAGGTTAAAGCCTGTTCTATCAGAAACCTTATGCTGGTGTAGGTAATGGCAGACTGTAATCAAAGTACTTTTTAACTTCTCCTTTGAAAGCTTGAAGAAGGAGTTTTCTTCCTTTCATGCTTTGAAATGGTTCTTAGGATTGTGGAATGCCATAGGTTGGAAGGGGCCTTAAAGATCACCTAGTTCTTGCCAAGCTCCAGTTCACTCAGGGCCCTGCTAAACCATCCCCAATGTTTTAATATATTTTTGAAGGAAACACTTCACTTCTGAAGTCGGAGCTTATGGTTACAGTTAAGTTATAGTTAATTACAGTTAGCTATAATTAACAGGTTGTCACAGTTATAGTTTCACTGCAGTTGCTATCAACCATTCCACTTGTTTGGTTAACTTGGGCAAATTCCTGATCGGCTTTAATTCCAAGGAAGCCAAAGGTGGTGTTCTAAATGAAATTAAAAAAAAACCTGAATTGCACTTGACAAATAATTCCCTCCACTCTGTTCCACACAGGTACAGACTGGTTGGAAATTCCCAGATTAGGTGTGTGATTAATAATGGGCATGTTACTTGGGATGGAAATCCTCCCATCTGTGAACGTAAGTAGAGTCCTGCTGAGTGGGACTGGGGATGGATGAAGATAGAGAAGGCTTTTGGTCGTTCACTGCATGTTGGAAATCTCTAAAAACACTTTTCTTGGTGCTTTCCTTCCATGCATGGAAGCATTCCCTGGCAGTAAGGCAGCTGCACATCACAGGGATGTGCCCCCAAACCACCCAGTCGTGAGGCAGAGCTGCCCTGAGACCTGCCTCTAATTTCTGGCACCTGGGCCATTTGTGTCTCAACTTCAAACCACACGTTTAATTAACATGAATTTTTCAACTTTTTTTTTTTAGCAATTCCATGTTTGCCCCCTCCAAAAATAGCGAATGGAGATCACAACAGAGGTGACGTCGCGCTCTTCACTTACGGAGCTTCTGTCACCTACCACTGCCACACTGACAGCAGGGGGAGGAAGCAGTTCTCCATGGTGGGGGATGCCTCTATTTTCTGTACAACCAATGACAACGTGAATGGTGTCTGGAACAAGCCAGCCCCGGAGTGCAAAGGTGAGTGGCAATCTGCCCATAGGGGATCTGAGAAGGGGTATTCATCTGAGAATGGAAGAAGCAGGAGGCTTGCCAAGGTTCAGAAGCTTGCTGTGATACCTGCTGTCTTTCCTTTGTTCTCATTCTTAATAAAGTGGGGAAAAGAAACCCAATTAATAAGAAAAAAGATGTTGGACAAAGACTTGAAAAATGCTGCTGAGTTGCCATGCCCATTTTCATCCTGTTTGATGAATGTGTGCTCCAAGAATCGTGGATTCATTAGGTAGGAGGGAGCTTTAAAGGTCCCCCAGTTGCCCCCCCCTATGTTAGCAGTTGCCAACAGCAGATCAGGCTGCCTGTGCCCCACTCACCCTGACTGCTCCAACAGCTCCAATGCTTTAAATCATCCCCCACTGACCCAGCACTCATCACCTGAGCTCTGTTGCTTCCCCCATGCAGTGGTGAGCTGCAGGCAGCCCCAGGTGGAGCACGGCAGGCTGCAGAGCAGGTACAGAGCTGAGTATGCCTATGGTGACACCGTCATCTTCGACTGTGAATTCCGTTATGTGCTGCTGGGCAGTGACACAGCCATGTGCCAGGAGGATGGCAGCTGGGATCCACCACTACCACAATGCCAGCGCAGTGAGTGCCCACAGGGACACAATCCAGGCCGTGGCTGTGGGGGTGGTGGGTTGTATTCTGTTGTTTTTGCCTCTTGCACCATGGTGGCTTGCACTTTTGTTTCCCAACAGCTTGCTGGTGATAATGCAGGCATGGGACTTTATGACTTTGGGCCTCTTAGCTAAAGTCTTGTTCCAAGACCCAGACTTGATGAGTTTCTTGCTAGAACTCAGAGGGACTAAACTGACCTCCCTATACTCAATACTTTTAAAGGTCGTTGGTAGATTAGGGCAGAGAGTATTTGCTTTGTTAGAAATTGCACGTCATTGCCACAAGTGAGTGTAAATCACCATTGTAATAGCAGGTACTGCATTTCATTTTACTTCCATTGCATTCACTCTCAGTAGCACTGAACTCAGACAATTGCCTTAAGTGAACCTCAGGAAGAATCACACGAGCCCACGTTTTCCCCCAGATCCTTTCATGTTGTGTCCTGTGCCCCACTGCTTTCTCATTGGCAATGTCACAGAGTGTTGATTTCACCCCTAGGCAGCTGTGATGACCCTCCTGACGTGCAGAATGCTGTTAAAGCAAGACTTGCAGGCAATTTATTTCCCATTGAGACTGTCATCACTTATGAGTGCCAGACGGGCTATGAGTTCAGCCCTGGAGTGGTGATGCAAAACATCAGTTGTCTGCCAGACTACACATGGACTGAAACTCCACCGCCCTGTGAAAGTAAGTGCCTGTTCCTTCAGCTTAAGTATCCTTGTGTTTGGGCAAAGCTCTTCCCAATTAAAGGATCTGTGTGCAGTCTACCTTATCTACCAGATGTGCTTTCTGCTCCTTTGAACCCATGGAAAAAATAGTGTGCCATCACTAAGATGCCATGGTGCTGCCAGTGCCCATTGGAGAGGGGAATGTACATCCAGGAAAGCCCCGTGAGTCCAATGGTGCCCATCAGCATTGTTGGTGGGATGCAATAACTTCATATGTATGCCCAGAAAATAAAACTGCCTTTAGGAGTGTCCAGAAACAGCCATTCATTCTCCTCCTGCCTCAAATGAACCTGCTGTCATTGAGGTACTTATGCCATGATTTCACACTTGCTGCTGTTTGGTGTTTCTCAGGAATTAGTTGCCCGAATCCAGCTACCAAGAGGGGAATGCACATAAGCTCCTGGGGCAAAAAAGACACGTATGTGTTGGGAGACAGAGTCCGAATTATCTGTGACCCTGGCTATGTTTTCAAGGATAGTGATGATTATGTTGTGCTTCAGTGTACAAATGATGGCACATGGAACCGGGAAGCACCAGAGTGCATTCCAGGTAGGAGAGCTGCTGCATCACCTTGACCTGTTGATTGCTTATTTGTGACTTTGGCAGAGGTTTTGGTCACTCCGTACAGGACAGCTGTCTGCTACCATCAGTAGAAATCTACCTGTGGCCTTGCATAGCTGCCTTCTCTGTGGAAATCTTCTTCATGGAGTTCTTTCTAAAAATTCATGAAGTCCTTTTATACTTTCTCTTGCTCCTAGAACCTCATTGCCCAGAGCCTATCGTTGACCACGGAAGAGAGGTTTATAAAAGCAAAAATGATTACACAGTTGGGACTCAAGTAAGGATAGAGTGTGATGAAGGCTACGTGATCAGTATCCAAGAGTCGATCACGTGCCAGGCTGATGGGAACTGGTTTCCCAAGTTACCCTACTGCCAGCAAGGTATGTGCAAGGCAGGAGCTGTGATCAGCTCTGGGGCAGGGAGGGCAGCCTTCCTCCAGCATCACCTCTGAGATGCAGGGAGGTGAGCGCTGGCTGTGGGGCTGGAGGTGTCTTCCCCAGCAGATGCCAGGCAGGAGCTGAGCACGGGCTCTAAGTCCATGCTGAGTTCTTACCCCAATATGATAATTGTGTGTTTCTTTTTTTTTTCCCTTCTTAATCTTTATTTCATAGCCTGCGGCCCTCCCCCACAAACCACCCATGGGCTGGACGTCAACCCAACATCATCATTCTTCCCCTATGGCTACAGAATGAAATACAGTTGTGCTGCGGGGCTGTCCCTCATTGGGGATGAATCCATCTACTGCACCTCTGAAGATGGAGTGAACCTGGAATGGAGTGGCCCTGCCCCAGAGTGCAGGGGTGAGTCTATAGGGTCACCCCAAAACTGGGGCATCAGGAGGAGCCCCTCATTCATTCCCCCCACTCGCTTTCTGTCCCAGGATATGAGCATGCCTGTACTACAGCCCTCTGCTCTCTCCCCAGTGGTTCGCTGCCCCAAGCCCGTGGTTGAGAATGGAGAGATGGTTACACCACAGCACACATTCTCCTATGGGACATCCGTGAGCTTCTACTGCAAGAAAGGCTTTACACTGCATGGCAATGCTGAGAGCCGCTGCATGGCTGATGGCAGCTGGCAGCCAGCCCTACCCAAATGCCAGCCAGGTGGGTCCAGCCCCACACACTGAGGCTGGCAGGGCATTGTCTCCTCCTGTTACGTTATAATGCTGTGTATTTGCCTTCTAGTCAAGTGTCGTGCACCAAAGAACAAGGAAAACCTACAGATTTTCTCTGACAGGGAAGAGTACGAGTTTAATGAAACCCTGTACTTCTCCTGCAAGCAGAGCAACAATCCAGCAGAGATGTCATTAACCACCTGCTCTGCTGGTGGCTCTTGGATGCCACCACCCAACTGTGTGAGTTCCACTGCTTCGTGTTTTGCCCCGTTTATAGCTTGGAACAGCACCAGTCCGCCTTCATGAACGTGTTTTGCTACGATGGGGCTGGCACAGCTGTGGGTCTGCGCAGCCCGTGGGTCCCCGTGGCAGTGGCTCATGCCCTCTGTCTTTGTCTTGGCTCTTTTAAAGAAAACACTTCATGCGTGCAAGAAGATTCGTCAAATCCAGGAAACTTTTGAGTGCGGAATTCCTCTGGCAGAACTGAGAACTTTGCTGGAAGTACAGAAACTCTACCTGGAGATCCAGAAGCTGGAGAAGGATCTGGGAGCCAGAGGAGGCCGCTCATGGCTGTGACTGGTATTGTGGTGGGAAGAAACGGAGTCAGTGAAGTGAACAGATTCCTGTCATAGGAGGAATCAGAGTCTTTTGTCTCGTTCTGGTAGAGCTCGCTGCCTTGGGTTTGTGCATCACTTTATACCTTTTAAAGCTTTACATTTAGGTCTGTTGTCCTGAGAGGTGTGCGGTCTGGAAGGAATGGAACTGAGAGAGAATTGTCCGAGTCACACACGTGTATGGAGAGCCACCACTCACCCTCTCCATCTGCAGCCCCATTCAGCCCATCACTGAGTGCCAACAAGCATTAACAGCCTAACTGCCCACAGCCTCCAGAGCTACTTGGTGCAATGGAGAAATCCTCCAGGCAAAACTAAACTCCATCTTTTCCTGCCAAGTAGGACAGTTCTGATCTGGCCTCCGTGTGCCCACTGCACAAATTGCAGCCCATGGAAATAAAATTGGAAGGAAAGAAGTGGCTGAATTATTTCTGCGACATCCAGCGAAGGGGAAGTGCTCTGCTAACTCGTATCGTGTGACCAGACCGCTGTTCCTTCACTAGATTATAATAAAGCTGCAGTTCTAATGACTGCTGTGCCTTGTTTGCAGTAATTCTGCCCTGTCTGTGGTATAGAGCAATATACTCAGGTGGAAAGGCAAAGGGGACACGCAGCCCTGTTCCCTGCACTGACTGTGGCTCTTTCTGCTCCAGAAAGAAGGCAGAGCAGCTCTGACCATGTAACAGCTTAGCTCCCCACCATCCTCACACAGTGCAGCAGGAATGCAGTGCTGCCGTCAGCACGGCCCGCCTGCTGTCCCCCACTTCCTCCGCCTGCTTCCCCTTCCCCTGAGACTTTTGCAGTCCTGTGGCACGGCTGCTGCTCGCCATGCAGCTGCTCCTGCACTGGATGGGGCCATTGCTGGTACTGCTGGTGCTGCAGCCAGTGGGGAGCCTAGGTGAGTGAGTGCCACCTCCTTCCCTTCCTGCTATGGCTCAGCTTTGCTTTTCGATCCAACATGGGATAACCAGGCTAGGGATGCACTCCTCTGCTGGACGTGCTGCTAACCTCAAGTTCATCCTTGTGCTACCCAGGGCCAGGTCCTTGTGCAGAGATTTGCTGAGCCTGGCCAGGGCTTTGCTGCACCACTGCCCTGGGTCCTGCTGATCGATGCAGTAGCAAAGAATCATTCCCCTGGCTGGAGCATGTCCTGCAGCTTGGAGGCTTGAGATGAGGATGGTGGCTAGATGGGGAAAATCAATTGGGCAGGTGATAGCTTGATTGTTTAATTAAAAGGGACATAATTTGCAGTTTGAGTGGCGTTGGTGGTGTGTAATCACAGGATGGTGATGGCTGTCACGCGTCCTGTGGGCTGACTGCATGACAAGCAGTGATTTGCTCTGTAATGACCCCCAGAAGAGGAATAACTCCCTATTTCTGCTGCAGCTGACGTTGCCTCTAACAGCAGGTGCTCCTCTGATGCACAGAGCAAGCAATGCAATGAAGGGTCAGAACCAGCCATGGGTTGTACCTGTAGAATCCTGCTGCTGATGGCTCCTCGAGCATGCTGTTAACCCCCAATCTCCCCATCCCAATTGCTGTCCTTGCTAAAGTGAAGCCTTAGCAACTCATTTATCAGAGGCTCTGCCGATAGGAGCCCTCCTGCAAACTCCCATTTGTTTGCTGCTGCAGAGGTGCAGTGCCCGGTCCCAACGATCCCTCATGGGTGGCTGAATCCTGCAGAGAAGAACCTCAGTGCTGGGAGCACAGCCACGCTTGAATGTGAGGCTGGCTACGTCCCTGTGGGCAGCAGCAGCGTGAGGTGTCTGAGCAGTGGCAGATTGCAGCCACGGACACCAGCATGCATCCGAGGTATGCACTGTCTTTCTTCTTGGTCTTTTCCCCATGCATTCACGTGGGTTTATTTGCTGAAAAGTGCATCAAGGTGGGCTGGGACCCCAGAAGCAAAGCTCAGCCCCATCCTTGGTTGTGGGGTAGAGCTGGTGGCTCTGTGTGCTGCTCCCCAGGCCGTTGTCCTTCCCCTCCTGCTGTTGACTACGCCGACCGCAGACCTCCATACGAGTTCCTGGTGGGTTCCACCATCACCTACTTCTGCAGACATGGGTACACGTTGATCCCCGGCGTGTCTCCAACAACAACTTGTCTCAAAAATTTCACCTGGTCTGCGATCCCAGCGCTTTGCCAGAGTGAGTGTTCCCTTCTCTTTGCCTCGCCAACAAAACCATCGGTTTAACGAGGTGGAAATAGCATAGTTTTCAGTCCTTCAGTGGCGCTGTGCTGCGAGGGCTTTGTTTAGCAGTGTTTGGGTTCTCAGTAATAATTTTGCTGTTCTAAGTGTGGCATGGAGGAAAAGAAACAGCAGAAACTCACGCTAATTATTTAGCTGCACCAACAACAGCAGTGTGTTGTCTCACTGGTGCCATCTACAGCCAACCACGGGGTTCTGTCTACAAAAGGAAATAGTGGTATCACATAATCACAGTGATTACAGCGATGCCTGGCTGGTTTGCAGTGCTAACAAGCACTGGAAACAGGCTGGCCCGATCCATGGAGCTTTCTGATGGCTCTGTCCCTCAGTGGTGCAGTGCCCGAGCCCAGCCATCATCAACGGGAGGGAGACGAGTGCAAAGCAAGAGAAGTACAGCGTTGGGCAGCAGGTGGAGTTCCAATGCAACCCAGGCTACGTGCTGTGGGGCAGCCAGAGGACTCAATGCTGGTCGGATGGGACGTGGAAACCCTCAGTGCCGTACTGCGATAAAGGTGAGCCCAAATAACACTTCCTTGGTGGGAGCTGGGAGTTGCATCTCTCTACAGCATGTGGGAGCAGCAGAGAGAAAATCTTATCACCTTTGGCATCTCATCTGTTTTCTCTCACAGTCTGTACCCCCCCTCCGCTGATCACCAACGGGCAGCACACCGGCTTGAGAACAGAACTTTTTCCCTACGGTACGGAGGTGAAATACAGCTGTGCTTCAGGGCTGTCCCTCATTGGGGATGAGTCCATCTATTGCACCTCTGAAGATGGGGTGAACCTGACATGGAGCGGCCCTGCCCCGGAGTGCAGGGGTGAGTCACAGCAAAGCCAGAGCACCAGGAGGAGCCCCTCAGCCCCCCCGACCCTCTGTGTGTCCCAAGGGATGAGGCATCCCCCTAACGCAGCCCTCTGCTCTCTCCCCAGTGGTTCGCTGCCCCAGGCCCGTGGTTGCCCAGGGGAGGATGGATCTGTCATGGCACACGTTCCCCTATGGGACGTCCGTGCGCTTCTCCTGCAATGAGGGCTTTGTGCTGCACGGCGATGCTGAGAGTCGCTGCACGGCTGATGGCAGCTGGCAGCCAGCCCTGCCCAAATGCCAGCCAGGTGGGTCTGACTTTAACAATCGATTTCTCATTTCTACAGATCGAAAACCACCTGCACAGACTCATCTCCCACAATTTCAGGCTCGGTTTTCTACCCACACAGTCATGTTCCCCTTGCTGAGCTACTTTCTGCTGTGTGTTTGCTTTCAGTTCTGTGTCCCAAACCACGAGTTGCCAATGGAAAGCTGACAAGCACTGATCAGACGTGGTACCCAATAAACACCACAGTCACATTTGTGTGCCACGAGGGATACCGTCACTTCTCAGTTGATGGAGAAGCCTCTTGGACAGCCACGTGCTTGGCTGATGGCAACTGGACACCACTGCCCAAGTGTGTAAGTACTGTGGTGTGGCTGGTTCTGGATGAATGCTGCCTGATGTCTGCTATGAAAAGTAACCCTGACCCTCTTAAAAAGCCTTTCTTTCATTGCTGTGGTGGGGGATGCAGCTGTGTTCAGCCAATGCACAGCAAACTGGGAAGGGGTGCAGCCTCAATGCTGCAGTGTGGGTCCCCACCTGCAGCAGTTCAATCACACATGGCTTTCTCTGCTTTTGGCGTTGCTTTGCTTAACAGAAGAAGGAAGGTGATGCTGACGTGTGCGGAGAGGTTGCTTATATTCAGAGTGTCGTCTCTGACTGCCACGTGCCTACAGAAGATGTGAAAACTCTGCTGGAAATACAAAAACTCTTCCTGGAGATTCAAAAACTGAAAGTGGAATTGCAAGGACTGAGCAAGGAGGTCCTGGAGCACATCCTGCATTAAACAGCCTTCCCTGTGGGCACAGTCCATATAGTCAGAGTTCCTTTAAGAAGCCTCCTAGGAACTGTATGGTTTGTGCTTCTATAGGGCCAGATCACTTCTGCCATGCTACATGCCAGAGCACAGAGGGGTTTTTGTTCTAACCCTCAGATAGGACATGCTTGATTCGCTGTGTGCCACTTTCTGCTTTAGGAAGCAAAGCAAGAAGTTCAATTGAGCTTCTCTGAGTCCCTGTATAAATCGTGCTAAGCCAGAAGTGGGGTTGAAGTCTGTGAAGGCAAACTCCTGGCAGAGGTGATTGCCCAGCACCAGGCTACCAGTGTTTGCATACCTTGCCTATCTAGACATAGCAATGGAGTGAGCATTGAGCCGCACCACTTCCTACTAACCTGTGTCACGATCTTATGGTTTCTGTTCATCTAGTTACAGGCAGTGACAGGGCAGTAACAAAACCAGGCTCTAAAGCCCACTTGCTTATCCCTGGATTTAAGAGGTAACAGGATTCTGTACTTGAGAGATGCCAGCGTTGGTCTCATCTTCCACATCCCTGTGTCTGCGAGCAAATGCTAAGAATAGAGGGTGCAGGTTTAAGTACAGCGAATCAGATAGCAATGATTTCTCTTATTATTCAATAAACAATAATCCCTTCATGCATCTTTGCAATGGAAGAATCAGGAGCTCCATTCAGGAGCTCAGTAGAACAGATGTGTGACTGCAGATGTCCTCAGGTCTGTCACATTGGCTGCAGATGAAGCAGTGCTTGTTGAGGGCAGGCAGATGTGGCCAAGAGCAGAGCCCTGGCAGTGAGGGGGGGGGCCCCCCCCGGAAAAGGGGCAGGAATGCAATGAACACATGGCCCTGGGCTGTGCTGTGCTTCTGCCATCATCCCTGGTACGATGCCCAGGGGGAGTGGTGACATCTCATGGGATGCAAGAGATGCTATGCTATTGCATCCCATGCTTCACCAAATGGATGAAGGGATGCAGTAATGGGGAGCAGAGCTGGTTAGCTGTCCTTGTGCTACATGGAAACCCATGCTGTGGCCACCTGGTGCCACACTGGGCTGCAGCCAGAGGCAGCATATCTCCCCAAGCAGTGCTGAAAGCACCGATAAGATCAGGGTGTTCTGCACTGTGTGTTCCCATCGATGTATGTGTGCCCTAAACTGAAGTCATGTTTATTTCAGTGCAGATGGAGCTGCTCACATCTCTCTCTAATTACCAATGAGTCAAGTAGCCAGGAAAAAATTAACAGACAAAAAAGATAATTCTTTTATTTTAGTTTCAGTAACTCTGCTCATGGAAAAGCTGTGCTGTTACTGCCAGCAGATGGCTGAGCCTGGGGCTTAAAGCTTTCTGTCCTGACAGCATCTGGTTGTGGTAGATCTGTGCTCTGCCAATGTGTCAATAAAAGGGTTGAGGATTCCCCTATTCCTGTGTGGGCTGGGAGGACATGGAAGCTTTGCCCAGGTCCCGGACTGCTTCCCATGTCCCTGCAGAAGGGCTGAGCTCTTTGTGAGTTATGGGAGGGTTTCCACTGTTCCACCAATTTGGCTGCATCTGTGATGCTGCATCCCCTCCCAGCTTTCCAAAGCGGCTGCTGGCAGCCAGCAGCACTCTGCAGAGCAGCAGGAACTGCTGCGATGGGGTCTGGAGAAGGAGGGAAGCACCCAGACACCTCGAGCTGCTGGGCTCGTGCAGCAATGCAGGGATCCATACATCCTGCACTGCTCCTGGCTCTGCTGTGGCTCCTTGGCATGCCGACGGCTCATGGTAAGTACAGCACTGGGATGCATGCTGGGCAGCAATGAGACCTTCCCAGGTCCCCCCATTCTGCTAAGGGGCTGGGGATGACAATACCACCATCCCCGAGGGCTGCAGCTCAGCCTGCTGCCTTTGTTCAGGGAAAGATCCTGAGTTGTCCTCCTGGGGATGGAGTTCTCACCCTACGAGGTCTTCTTGTACCACAGGTGCCTGTGGGCCCCCGCCTCCCATGACCCACTCCCAGCCCTACGGCGTCGAGCAGCTCAGCAGCTTCCCTGTGGGCTCCAGGGTGACCTACACGTGTCTGCACGGTGCTATCAGGATCCCCGGGGCATTGGACACGGTGCAGTGCCTGCCTGGCTCATACTGGTCGGAGCTGCGCGATCCCTGTGGCTGTAAATACCCCCCTTTTCCTGGCAGAGCTGCCTCTCACTTCAGGCTTCTGCAGTAGCTGCTCTGCACGGTGCATCCTTTGCTGCTGCAGATGGGCACGGAGCTGTTGATGATGGGTGAGTGGAGCTGCAGCTGTGATGCTGCTGTTCCCCATCTAGCAGCTCCTGGCAGCACGGTGCGTGGTGCCAGCAGTTTTGTGCATGCAGACAGAGCATTCCAGGCTGCACTTTGCTTATGGATGCATTTAGCACAGCTGCAGCTTGAGAGAGCAGAAGAGAGCAGAAGTAACCTGCAATGAGCACACAGAGCTCTTCAAAGGCTCCATAATGAGCTTTTCTGCACAGGCTCTGCTTTGCACGGCTCCCATTGCCAGCTCTCAGACCTGCTCTCCTTGGTTGCCAGTGAGCTGCGCTACCCCGACCTCAATGCACTTTGCTGCCCTGTCCGAGGTGGATGAGATGATCAATTTCTATCCTGTTGGGTTCACTGTGAGCTACGTCTGCCGCCCTGGTTATGAGAACATCTCAGAAAGCCAACCTACCAGCACCTGCCTTGAGAGCCTGACGTGGTCAGAGGTCCCGGAGTTATGCCAGAGTGAGTACAGCCTCTGCCTGCTGCTGAGCATCCCCATGCTGTGCTGAAACACGTCCCCATGGCCACATGTTTAATGGAGGCTCAGCTGGATGTTCCTCTTTAAGACCTCATACAGGAGTTATTTCATGTATTTGATAGCGTTCTTTATTTTCTGTTGGCACAAACACATGGGTTTTGATTTTCACATAATGTTTGCAGCTGGACATTAACATATGCATGGGACAAGCGCCAACTTGCAGGGAGGTTTTCTAGCATTGAAGACCAAGCATGTTCCCTAATGAAATCCATACAGCGTTAAGAAGGATGGTGTGGCAGCTGTAGGTTTCTTACAGCCGAGTGCCCCACAGCCAAAAGCACTGCGATGGATGCTCACTCTGCTCTTCTCCCTGCAGGGAAATCCTGTGGTCCCCCAGAGGCCCCACCTGCAGGGAGGATCCTCCAACCCACAGATTTTCTGTTTGGCACACGTGTGAACGTGCTCTGCAATGAGGGGTGAGTCCTGAGGCAGCGCTGGTGTTGGATCACAGCTCTGCTGGTGCTCGTGCATGGAGCTGCAGCTCTGGGCTGGGCTGCTCTCTTGCAGCTGTCCCTGCTGCAGTGCTTTGGTGATGAGTGCTTTTCCCTTTTGAATTCCAGCTTTGGGCTGGGAAGGGATGAGGCATAGCTGGAGTGAGCGGGCTGGGCCCTGGGTTTATGGCAGCCTTTTCCTTTAGGTGTCTTCCCGAGGAAACCTAATTGCTGGAGGGTGAATACCCCAGCAGGACTGTTGTGGGTTCACTTTGTAATGGCAGACCTCAAAACAGATTACCTGCAGTATTTCAACTGAAGGTGTTAGTGCTACAATGAATAAAAGGGGTTATGCCTGAACGTTAAAGCTGAGCTAGAAAACAGGAGCAAAACGCTTCCCACCCATCAGTCTGACTCATGCCCTCTCTCTGCTTCCAATCAGGGCACATATGCAGTGCTAACAGACCTGCAGGCTTGCAAATTCATATCCAGCTTCTGTTCCTTCCTCCCCAGCAGGATCTGGCATTGCCTGCTTGTTCCATCCCTCTGTACAGCAGCTTCCAGTGCAGCAGAGACTTTTTCCTACAAATATTCCCTTAGGGAGGCCTGGAGGGAAATGACAGCACATCCCACGGTTGGGATACACACACAGGGGTGGAGGGATTATGTTATCCTTGGAAGCAATGTTAGCTATTATCCCTGGTATGCAAACGATGACGTTTCAGAGCAGCAAGATGTGAGTGCTGCCAGGACAGGAGATCAGCTTCCAGCAGCACGTCCACGAAAGGCAGATTCCCACCTGATCACATCAGCGCCGGGAGGAAAACGCTCACAGTTCCAGGGTACTCACACAGGTTTCTTCTATTGGGTGCTTTCATCCAGGTACCAACTCCACGGGAGGAATTTCATCCGTTGTTGGCTTAAAGGAGATGACGTTGAGTGGAGTGAACTTCCAACCTGTGAACGTAAGGCTGATCTGATCCTCCTCTGAGCTCAGTAGGTCCCACAAGATAAGGTCTACTATAAGAGTGGTATAACTCCATCTACACAGCGTGTTGTTTTCCTGTATGCTACGTGCCACCAATGCTGCAGCTCAGAAGTGCCCATTCTGCTGCTGATGCTGCATTTCAGCAGCTCTGCTACCACAAAATCACAGTATTTTCCTCACAATGTAAGCAGTGGAAGGGATGGGCTGAGATTTCTAGGGCTGAAGATCCAGGGCACAGCAAGCTGCTCACAGGGAGTGCTGGCAGCCCATCTTTATCTGTTCAGATCTCTTCAGATATCTTAGCTGGATTCAGAAGAAGCATTTCACATTCATTATCCCTGAAGCTCTCAGTAACGCTGACTTTGGCTCTCTGTCATGCAGTAATCACCTGCTCTTCACCTCCTCGGATCAGCAACGGGAGGCACAATGGTGAAGGTGTAGAAAAGTTTGCTTACAACTCAACAGTGACCTACAGCTGTGACTCTGGCTTCCAGCTCATTGGGAATGTGAGCATCCGTTGTACGAGAGCAGAGAATGCAAGAGGGGTCTGGAGTGGAGCAGTGCCCCGATGTAAAGGTGATTTCCTGTGCATCAAGGATTTATGATGGGTTTGGTGCTCAGTACGCAACCAACTGTGATTGCTTAGCACAGGCATGAGCCATACTGTGATCTGAAGACAAAACCAAGCAGAGCTGCTGAGTAAGGGATGAAGTGTCAGAGAGGGAGAGCTTTGACCAGTGTGTATTGTTTTTACCACAGAGAAAAGCCTACCTGTCAAACTTGGAATAAAACCCATGGAAAGGAGTCCTCCTCCCCAGAGTGAGTTGCAGTGATTCCAACCCAACTGAATTAAACCCCACGTTTCCAGACTTAATTTTCCCCTTTATCGCAGCTCTGTGATAAAAGCCATTCTGTGAGTTTTGTGGTTTTCATTTTTTTTTTTTCAGGTTCCCAGAGACGTGACCTCAAACCACCCAAGAAGACTTTCACAATGGAAATGAAAATGAGCCTCTATAAGAAGTCACTCCAAAACACCAACTCCTTCTCCTCCTCTTCTTCGTTCTCCAGGAAGCCAGGTGAGCCCAGCACAGCCCGTAGGGCATCCAGCAGAGCTCATTCGTGGCACCCATGCCTTAGAATCATAGCATCATAGAATCACCAAGGTTGGAAAAGACCTAAAAGAGCATCCAGTCCAACCATCCACTTATTACCAATAAACCATGTCCCTCAATTTCATCTAACAATGTACACCAGTGTGCTGACTGGTTTTTCCAAGCCCAATGAGCTTTGGTGTAAAGCCACAACTCTAAGTGAGGATGCATGGCTGATAAATCATCTCAGTTAGATCTGAAGATGCTCTCAGCATCTTAAAAAAAAATAAAATCAGGGTAATATAATTAAAAACAGGAAATAGTGGATGTAGGGACCTAATCTATGTAGCTAAATCTTATTCCCTCTCCGTATCCACAGCCCTCATTCCTTCCCACGTTTCTCTTCCATGGCAGGGAGCTGTGCCACCTCAGCTCTCAAATTTGTGATGCCTCTGTACAAAACCCAAAGCTCCTTCTCTCCTGGAACCCACAAGCAATCTCCGTGTTCTCCCAAGTATCGCAGCATCTCTGCTGTTTTCCCCAAGGCTGGCTGCTCTGAAAACACGTGGTGGTCTAAAGCTGCAGCATTTTGTGGAAGTGAGTGTTTAATTTGTTTACCTCTTGTTAGAAGCGATGCTGCAGCACGCAGCCCGGAGCTCTGAGCTCCATCCCAGTTAACACTGTGTTGTTCCACCCCAGAAAGGTCGTGGGCAGCCAGGAGAACCAGGACCTGGCAGAAGTGCTGCTATCACCGATTTCCCATCCGCTGCAAAAGGCTCTTTTACCTGTAGGAGTGGCGAGTGTCGGTTTGGAAACAGCTGCAAAGCAGGAAATGTAAGCACAAAACGATCAGTGGGGATGGCATAGGACCCCCAGAGACCCCTGCAGGGTCTCACTGCACAGCTGGAGATGTGGAGCAAAGCCTTTGTTGGGTGTGAGCCCAGCCCAGCCCTGCTGTTCCTCTTGGATCACAAAGAGGGATGAAGTTGGGGGATGTTGGCCCTTTGGTAGTAACAAAGACTGGCTGGAAGCATCCTGGAAAACACAGGGATGGAAAGGGAAAAGCTTTGTCCTGTTTTTATTTTTTTCCCCCTCTAAAAACCCTCTGTGCTGCTCTGTTACCTGCCTTCAAAGTGAAAACAGATCTAAAAACCTCTTCCTGATGGTTTTCCTCTTTAATTGTTTTGTCATTTCTGGCACTTCTTCAGGAGTTTGGATGAACGCAGCCGCTCCGACCCGGCCGTGACCCAAAGCAGATCCCTGACACATCCCAGCCACAGGGAAACCCGACTGCAGGCACTGAGCTCTCCCTGTGTGCCTGCACACACTGTCCCAATTCAGTGGTGTACCATGGCCTAAACACCCTGTTTTCTATTTCTATTTAAAAGAAAATGGCACTGTAAGTATAAACCACCTAAATCCGTCACTGCGCTCTGCTCCTGAGGCACCTCCTGCGGTTGTGATTCTTCAGACTCACTTATTTTCCTTTGGCACAAGGAAGTCATGCCAGCCTCGCCTCACAGCCATCCATGAAGGATGTTTTTCTACATTGTGATGTGCTTGAATGTTCCCAGGATGAAAATGATGGGCGCCAGCGTTGGCTGATTGCCACAGCTGCCTCTCCATCGGAGATGTTAGAAGTTCACAGAATCATAGAATGGCCTGGGTTGAAAAGGATCACAATGATCATCTGATTTCAACCCCCCTCACTATGTGCAGGGTCACCAACTGCCAGACCAGGCTGCACAGAGCAGTTAGCTCTAAGCTCACAAATCCACTCATCAATCCCTCTGAGCAGAGCAGGCTGTGGTTTCCCCAACCCTCTTTATGCTGTTTGCAGAATTTCGGTCAGATCTCCTTGGTGTCACAATCTTTTACAGTCAGAATTTCCCCCCCCCTTTCCCTTCCCACCTATTTCCTTACTCGTTAGCAACACAAACTGCTGCCACAGCAGTTGGCACAAACACAGAGGCACAGGGGGAGCCCCCAGAGGAGACTCAGATACCCACATGCTGCCTTGGCTGCAGCAGCCTGGGGATGTCATGGCTGTAGTGCAACCCGAGTGCTGCCTTCCTCCATCGCCCTCCTGTTAGGAAACCGCAGCACTTTGCACAAGAAATTAAATACTGGCCTTTTGATCTTTGGCACTGTAAGCACTTTCACTGGCAAAAGCTTTTTGTTGTTGTTGTATCAAGTGTAATTATTATTATTATTTTTTTTTTGCCACTTATATTTCCATTGAGACTACAGGAAAGCTAACAGCCACAAGCATTGTTCTCATGTCATCACACTGCAACAGAGAAAAGCAGAAATGTCAGTGTTACATCATTAGCTGCCATCTCTGTCCTGTTCTGTGCTGTAACTGCCTTATAGTTGGGTGCCTGGGTCTTTATATACAGTTCATAATAAATGATGGCTGTTTCTGAGTGCTAGCTTGTGAGTTCAGCTGCCCAGTTGTGTGCATTTTCTGTTCTGTTCTTGGCTTTTGGAGACATCTCGACAAGGTGAGCAATTCTTTGTCTTCACCCCTCCATATTTACCTCTGAGTTTGATTCTGATGCAAGTTTAGTTTCTGAGAAGTGAAGCAAGAAAGAAAAACAATTCGTGCAGCAGCGCTGGGGAATGCGAGTGCTCCCAAAAAAGCACTTCGAATCAGAGAGGGGGGGAGGTGTCACACACACCTGCCTGAGCCCCTCTGCATTACGGGCCCCTCCGGGCTGGGTGGGTGGGAGCTGCTGACCCCACCGGTCGTGAAGATCCGGGGATGGAGGCACATTTCTACGGGCAGCTCCCACTGGCGGCTCTGCAAGCTGGTTTGGCTGGAAACCTCGAGCTCTTCCTGCCGGCGCCTGGGTGCGCTCCAGCTGCAGCGCTGTCCTCCCTTCTGCCTTTGCTTTCTGCTGGATCTGATCCCCTCCGCACGGGGAGGGCTGGCAGGGTGAGATAACGCAGTGGCTGCAGCGACACCGCTGTCAACTGGCTCAGCTGAGCTCAGCTCAGGGTCGGATGCTGCTCTGCACTTTGTTTTCTTGCCCCGAGGTCGCTGCCATAAGGCAATACCAGAGATTTCCCAGCGTTTAGAGCATTTTCTTCCTGTTTTACGCAACCCAGCCGCAGCCCTCGTTCACCCCGCAGGTGGCCAGCGATCTCCACGTACTCAGTCATCACACGTACATACCTAAAATGAGTTCACCATCCAGGCTGCCTGACCCCTCCCTTAAGAAAACAGCTCTTGGCCCCACCGCAAACGCTTTGGATAGAGCTCAAGACACATTGAAAAAGGAAATAAAGCTTTAAAAAAGATATAACGATAACACTATTAAAAGAGAACTGAGTTCTCCGTGGAGTTTTCACCCTTTGCTGGGTGACGAAGAGAGCCGCCCAGCCTCAAGAGGGAGGATGAAGGCAAAACACCGCTGCTCCGATTCCGAGGGCGGCTCCGCTTCTTTCGCTGCGGGCCGGGCGGGGCCGGGACTGGAGGATTTCCCCAAATGCCCGCTGGCCGCGATGGGCTCCGCTCCGTCCCGCTCGCTGCTGCTGTCCCTGCTGTCGCTATTGCCAGCGGTGTGCGGTGAGATCCTTTCACTGCGCTCCTTTGCGCTGCGCGCTTCGGTGCGGAGCTCCTCCTGAATGCGTTTTTCTTCTCTTACAGGTGACTGTGGGCCGCTGCCCAAGCTCAGCAGGGCAGAACCCCCCGAGGACGTCCGGCACAAGGACAGCTTCCCTGTGGGCTCCCAAGTAACGTACAGATGCCTCCAGAATTTATCGAAAATCCCTTCGCGGTTGGATACAATAAAATGCCTTAATAACTCCCTATGGTCCAACCTGCAGGAGTTCTGCGACCGTGAGTAGTTTGCTGCTTGGGACTGCGTTCGTGGCTCTAGCAGTCACAGCTGTAAGGGCTTCCTCACCTGAGGAACCTCTTCTTGCCCTTCTGTGCCTCGCCTTGGAGCTGGTGCCTCTGTGTTAATAAATACAGATACCTCAGGGTATCTGTGAGGCAGCAGTGAGGGAAGAAAAACAGCTGGGGGGCACCGGCACAGCACAGGGCTTAATTTGGAGTTAACGATGTGGGAAAGTCTGTGGCTGATTGGCTGTGCTGGCTCATATCAAAGGTTCTACCTGGGGAGCTGGCAGTGCAGGTGGGCACCCAGTTTGTGGGCAGCTCCAATAAGGCAAAATCAAGCATTTGAAATCTTTTCCAGTGAAGCAGCCCTCTGTCATTGCTTTCTTAAAACTGTCAGTGCAGCAGCATCCTAAAGGCTTGTGCATGGCTGCCTTTATCCGTACCCATCTGAATGCAAAATATTGTTGTTTCTTGCTCTGGAGCTGTACACTTGTCTGTCCTCATTGCCAGGCAGCTGCCAGAGCCCTCCCCAAGTGGCTTTTGCCAAACTATCAGAAGAAGATGAGATGAAGAATTTTTATGCTGTTGGGATCACTGTGAGCTACGACTGCAGCCCAGGCTATGAGAACAGCACTGCTGAACTCCCCAGCAGCACCTGCCGTGAGAATTCAACGTGGTCAGAAGTTCCTGAGCTGTGTCACAGTGAGTGCCTCTGCATCCTTCCCTCCAGCTTCCTCCTCCTGCCCCAGCCTCAGCACAGGGCACATGGCTGCTCTTCTAAACATTTAGCACGAAACACCACCACGAAAATCACATCAGCCCCTCTATTTCTGTTGCTCGGCGCCCTAAGGATGCTCTCATTTCTTTAGAGCAGTCTTGTGGTCCTCCGACAAAGCCAGAACATGGCACTGTTGAGGTAACAGATTACCACTTCCTTGCAAGTGCCAAGGTGGTTTGTGATGAAGGGTGAGTGTTGAGATGCCCGCTGCCCCGGGGGGGCCCTGGGGCTGTCAGTGCATGGAGCACAGATGTGCCTTTTCCACCTGCAGGTACACACTGTCATCAAGGGAATCTTTCATCTATTGTTTCACTTGGGGACATGGGGTTGCCTGGACTCCGCTTCCAACGTGTCAGGGTAAGGGAGGCCAGCAGCACTTGGCTGGAAGCATGGAATATCTGTATTAAAAAAAAAAAAAAAAAAGCATCGAATGTTGTGGATTTTATCAGTTGTTGTGGATCTGTGCTTTGTGAGGTGGTGCCCAGCTCCACCAGTGAGCAGCTCAACACGTCTCGTAGGTCTCCCTTCAAATGCAGCGTGTTTCAAGTGGGTTGGTAGCAGAAGAGCAGGTGGAGGTAATTCATCTCCAGTACATTAAACACTTCTGACCATTCCTCCTTCAGCTTCTCCCTCTGCAACTGGCACTACAGCAGTGACAAACTCAACCCCTCATTTGGAAGAGAAGGCATCGGAGAGCCGCTACATCCTACGTAAGAGCTCAGGAAGGCGCTGTGTGCCTTCAGGCCTCTGTGATTGCAACCCTTGAGCCTCACTGCAGAGCCTCAGTGGCTTTTTGAAAATTATTTTAATGTCAGTTTCTTTGTTTTCTTATCCAGCACTTGTCCTCATCCCTTGTGTCACTGGTGAGTAGCTTAACGTGGAAGATATTTTTCCTGACATGCCTGCGATTTGCTATTGAACATATGGGGTCACTGTGTTGGCTTCTCCATGGCTCCTAGTGATGAGTTTGGTGGGGGCCTGGGTTTCTCTGTTGTTGGGCCATGCAGCAGCGCCTCATGAGTTCCAGTGGGTCATCTGAGGGTAGAATATTCCATCAGTTGAGGGTGGATGAGGCCAGTGAAAGAAGTCGATCATAAACGATGCACCCTGTGACTCCTTCACTGGTAACGTTGGGTTTCAAGGCCTTGGCAGACTGTGGGAGATGAGAGGTAGTGAACCTCAGAGCATTCTTGCTGCAAAAGAAACTGAGTGCAGGAATAGCGAGTATCTTTAAAATACAAAATGAACAGCGAGCTGCCTGTAGGAGCAGCAAATAAATGAGGATGGTGCCTTTCAGAGTGGCATCACTCCTAGGCTGAGAAGGAGCCTCTAGGTGGGGACAGTGCTGCAGAGCACTGAGTTTTGCTGCCTGTCTCTCACCATCAGGAGGGATGCATTAGGGATGTTTCACACACTCAACTTACCCTACGCTCTGCATTTACTGTTTATCATTTGTTTTCTCCCCAAGGAGCTGCTGTGCTCATCGCTTGGGGCATCAAGAAGTGCAGTGAGAGGAAAAAGACTGGGTAGGTGGGCTCTGCTCTTCATTCCTCAGTCACTTTTGGCTTTTTCCTAATGACAGTGGGGGTATTTCACAGAATCCTAGCATGGCCTGGGTTGAAAAGGACCACAAAGCTCATCTCGTTTCAACCCCCTGCTGTGTGCAGGGCCACCAACCAGCAGCCCAGGCTGCCCAGAGCCAGAGCACTTTAAGCTCTGAGCAGTGGCTGTTACATTTGCTGCACGTCTGTGTGATCCCCATTCCATTGCTATTTATTCTGTGGACTTTTTTCCTTTCTTCTCTGTCTCTTCAGGTCTTACAAGCCAAATCCTGCGGATGAAGAGCAGAACCTACAGCACAGAGCACAGAGCTGATGGGTGTGCAAGGGGCAGCTGCAGGCGATCCCTAAAAGCACCAGGATTTTTGCAGTGGAGAAACTCTCTGTCAAGAGGCAGAAGGTTCAAACTTATTCGTTTTCAGCTCCCTCTCCCTTTCTATAACATTTTACTTTATTTTTAGTGCCAGTAGAACATTTTCCCAGTTCTTAAACTGAGACTTTTAACGTTCAGTAATCATTTCTTTCCACCAGGAGAATGATCCCATGTAAAACACTGCATTTGCACATCCTTGTGAGATCTCTGTACTGTGTGTTTTAATCACTGTTTTGCTAAGACTCATTTAGTAGCTTGCAGATAAAGGTTTGAAAACTACAGTATTTACAGCAAAACTGTTATATTTTTCAATGAAAGGGCTACGGAATAAGCAATGCCTTCTTACAGCCCGGCTGCTCTGTCACATTTGCGATGGGAAAAATCTCTCGCATCGCTCCGGTGCTTCCGCAATCGCGTCCTCAGGCCGAGGCAATCGGTCTCCAGGCGGGTGGCTGCCGCTGCGTCGCGCTGTTGGAGGCGCAGCAGCTGGGAAGGGCGGTGATGGAGATGGTGGTGGTGGAGGAAAGCCCGTGGCTGTGGGCACGGGGGGGGTGGAGATGGAGGCACCGAGCCGCACAGCCCTCGCTGTGATTCAGCCGGTAATTGAAGGCGAAACCTTCGCGCATCGCGGGGCTCGGCGTGGGGAGGAGGCGACCGCGCCCCGTGCCGTGTGGGTGCGGATGTGTGCGTGTGTGCTGGGCCCGGCTCCTCATTTTCCTACGGAGGCGAGAAGGATGCCGTGTTACAGCGCGACCGGCGGCTGGCGCTGGTGCAGCCTCCGCTCGCTCCGGAAAAGGTCGTGAGGAGCTGAGC